TTCCTCATACTATCAGTGGTTAACCATCTAGTTTATTAAAGATATTTATGCATTACATATATTGGTCACTAAAAATTGTATTTTATAATAATCACAGTAAACAATAATTTTTGACTGTGATAACGTCTTGAATATATGATAAAACCCGGTACTGTAATCATTGAGTACTACTGTAATCGACTGTATAAGACGGAATACAATTTATAAGTTTTGAGGATCTAGCTGTTATAATTTGGAAATCAATAATGCCGTTTACGATTATCACTTAATCAAAACCTGGCATAGGTGAATTATTAAAAGGTTTTTACTAGTTTCTTATTTATATTTAAAAACATTGCGAAAATTATTAAATCTTGAAATGGGATCTAGACAAAGGCAATCGGATCGTTTAATTGACGATTTATCACACGTGGATTTTGAGATTAGTTGAAATACTCTCTATGTTCGATAATATGCATCTCCGGGAAGATCTTGTTCTTGGTATTTATTCATAGGGTAAGTCTCTTTTAACCGTTAAGAATTGTGTATAGTACCTTGTCTATGCATTATTTATATTGTGTTATTTTAATGGGATTTTTTCATAGGTTCTGAACGCCTTTCGGCTATACAACAAAGAGCTATCAAGGCGATAATCAAAGGATGTCATAGCTCAATCTCAGTTTGGTACTGGTAAGACCGCAACATTTTCAATTGCTATGCTGCATTCAATTGACACTTAATTAAGAGATACTCAAGTTTTATACTTATCACCTACCAGAAAACTTGCTGTACAAATCCAATAAGTATTATTGTAATTTCTAATGTATTTGATAAGGAAAAAAAAATACTTACCTTAAAGAGTATTTGACTACAGCATTGGGAAGTTCAATACAATATCTAAAATATTTATAAAAACTTAATCAAAATTGTCAAAAATCACAATTAATGTTAATAATTGTTTAGGTGATTTTAGTTTTGGGAGATTATTTAAATACTCAGTGTGGTGCTTGTATCGGAGGTACAAATCTTGGTGAGGATCTACAAAAATTGGACCTCGGTCAATACATTATTTCAGGAACACCTGGCCGAGTGTTCGGTATGTAAACAATTAATTCAGAACTCAATATTAAGGCCAGGTACACATTGAGACGCAGGTGATGCAGCACAGCTTAGAAAAAACTATGTGACCTATGTGAGCGCATATTACTAAGCATTTGTGTGTCACTATTCACCCAGTCATAAGAAAAATGATAGCAGAAAATGTAATAAATTTATGTTCTGAATAAGATTCTGCCGATGAATTTGATAAACTTCTTTAATTTTGTCTTAATATAGTCAACATGACTAGCGTCATATAAAACACTGTAATGTTGAATGGCTTCAATTACAGACCATTGCAAAAATAAAATATCAAATTAAAATTTTAAAGGTGGAAATTATGTTAAGCTGACATAACTTAAATGGAAAATATTTCAAACACTTGTAACAAGTATGCAGTAAACTGTTTCGTGGACACTGCATGACACAGGTCAACACACGCTCTGCCCTGCCTCCAAATATGTGCTAGTACATTTTAATTAATAGATTACAGAAAATTATACTGTGTTGTCTCAATGTGCACCCGGTCTAATACATTTTGTTGTAAACTTAATTCTTTAATAGACATGATTAGATGTAAAACACTGCGTACAAGAAATATTAAAACACTTGTATTAGATGTAGCAAATGAAATGTTAAACAAAGGATTTAAGAAACAAATATATGATGTATATAGTTTCTTGCCACCTGCTACCCAGGTATAATTGAATTACTTTTGAATGTGAAACAATTTTAATTTGTTGTAACATTTTAGGTCTTACTCATATCTGCTACTCTGCCCTATGAAATACTTAAAATAGCAAATAAATTTATGACAGATCCTATTCGAATTTTAGTGAAAGGGTTAGTAAAAAATATATATATTTCTGGGGGAAATTCATGATAATGAATTACATATGGTCATTTTTTTTAATAATGAACTCGCATTGGAGGGTAATAAGCAGTTTTTTTGCTCCTCAAACATAAGTATTTAAAGTATATTTTCAATGAGAAGACCTTTGATAAGTTTAATTGGATTAAAACTTTTAATGTTAGAAAATGATTTTAATATATTGTTTATTTATGTATGTATTACAGAAGAGTTTTAATTACTACTGATATGGGTCAGAGATATTGATGTACAAGTTTCTTTGGTCATTAATTATGATCTACCTAACAACTGAGAATTATATATAAATATACATAAGTAATTTGTGTTTTATTTATTTTAAATAAAGTAATTGAACAAAAATCCTTATTTTATGAAAAATTGATCATGTTATTCAACTTTATTGTAGGTTTGGTCGATTTGGAAGATTTGGAGAAAAGGAAGTGGCAATCAATTTTGTAAAAAGTGATGATATTAGAATACTGCGTTATATAGAACAATATTATTCCACACAAATTGATGAAATGCCAATGAATAGAAAATGTATAATATTTTTCTTCTCTTTGAAGAATATATGCAGAGGATGAAACTATAATTATCATCTCCAACTGTCAACTATTCGCTGAGACATTTTTTGTTTAAAAACTAATGTCATTGTTTTTCAATATATGTTGGTGGAATCATCTATTAGGGACATTTTATATTAAATGTACCCTTCTTTGTGATTTTTGGATCAAGAATATCTTTTAGAGGATCTGGGGAGAAGATAGTGGTTTTAACCCCATTCAATTTGGCTTGGTACTCTACACCAGTAGTCTTCAACCTTTATCGACTCACGACCCACTTTTTTAGACATGCATTTTTCGCGACCCATGTAAGGACAATCGCACACCTAAAGAAAAACGTTTGTAGAAAAATCAAAAAAAATCTAAAATCACTTAATACTTTGTAGTAGTACTATTAGAACTAAATAAATAAAAACTAAATTATTGATGAATTAAAAGAAAAATACTTTTTAAGGGACACTTAAATATGACTAGAATAATAACTCGACTAACATTTATAATACTTCCCCTTTAAACACAGTAATAATACTGATAATGTTCGTAGATTATGGGACTCTTTAATGATGACAATATAATAAATTAATTTTATTACTAGCCCAGTTCACTCCTAAATTATTATATTCAATGTCATATCATGAACCGATTGATGTGGTGGAAGAAGATCTTAAAACCCTTGGAGTTGAAAATTGGAGAGAGACAGTTCAAGATAGAAATAGGTGAAGAAGTGTAGTAATAACGGTAAAATCTCTTAGAGAGTAGACATGTCAACAGAAAAAGAAGAAGAATGTCATATTACGTAGAAACATACTAGTGTATGAAACATTTACTGTGATTTGATATCCATTATAATATTATATTATAGAATATAAATTATATAATTTTGTATGTTTGTAATTTTTAATAATATGATGAATACCATTTTTATGAATATTTGTAACTAAATTTATTTTTTTTAATAACCTGATTTTTTTCTTTTACCTTATTCAAATGTTTATTTTCAATTTCAAGAACTTTAAAAATATAACTGTAACATTACACTAAACATTTGTTCCTTTTACCAATAGAATAACATTACTTCCAAATTAAGATCAGATTTAATTGATATTGCAACTTTTTTTGCAATAAAGATAAGTCAGATCTGATTAAATATATAGTCAATAAATACTGAAAATATTCTACCTATTTAATTTCATTATGCAATTTTTTTCAATTGAAAATTTTAAATTTTTTAAATCAAGCATTTATCGCCTGAGACTTTCTAGAAGCTTGAAAAACCCAGAGAGTGATAAGCGTCTATATATATATATTTACACCATATATATATATAGAGGTAATTAAATTCAATGCAGTAGTATAGCTATTTGTGTGTGTTTACCTGTTGGTACCTTAGTGCCTATTCTATTTCTTTGATCAGTTTGACCATAAAATGAATGTACTGGATGTAATGTTTAAAATAAAATCAACATTAAAAAGTATAATTTTGAATTGGATTGCTCCTAACGATGATAATACATTGTCTCGTATGCAACAAATCTATGTCTACTGAACAAAAATATCTATTAGATCATCATTCCAAAACAAGTAAGTTTTGTATTTTATGCTTATACTTTGCTACTTCAAGTACATTCCTCCATCCATCTCTATCAATGTTGAAAAAATAGTTATTATGATTATAATAATTATTTTTACCATTTATTATGAATAAAAACCAAAAACAAAAGAATTTTTTCAACATTTTAAGGTTTTATTGAAACATTGAAAAATTCTATGTTATGAATTGAATTTTATGTGTTAATTATAATATTTGAGTATTTCACTTTTACAACATTTCTTAAATAATAGATTATCAAAATTTTAACTTCTATGTTTATAGTTTTAGATTTTAGATTAAATAATGTCAAGTATTTAAAATTATTAATTTTTGTTCTGTTTATAATTAAGTAATTAATTGTACAATTAGTAAAAAAATTATTTACAATAAGCACAAGTGATGTTATAGATTTACATAAAATAAATTGTGTTATGTTAATTTTAGATATGGAGAGCTTGGGCAAAGATGTCATCCATTGATGGGTCTTAGAGTGGTGTAGAGTAGAAAGGACTCTTTTTAGTCCTTCTGAGGTCATGAATAGTAGGAACTGACAGTTCTGAAATAAAAAGATTGTGAAGATTGGAGAGTTTAAGCATTAGTAGAATACTTTGGCAAAATTATGTATTAGTAAAATAAAGTTATTATTTCAGCTCTAGCAGGGGGTGTTGATTATTTAGCAAAGGCATTGGAATGTTTGGATTTTATTAATGTTGAGTTTAGAAACTTTCCATAGTTGAACACCATAAGTCCAAATTGGTTTGAAGAACAATTTATAAAAAAGAAGTTCATTTTTAAGATTAACTTGTTTAGATGTAATGATAAGGGTTTGTAACAAATATGAGGGAAAATGAACTTGTATTGAGTCGATTGAAGCTTTATTTACTTTTATCCCCCATCCTTTATACCAATGTTTCTCAACCAGGGGGTCGCTCAGGTCAAAAATAATAAAACACTGATTTACAAAATGTACCTTTTTATTTAAATATTTAAGACTTTTTATTGAAAAAATTAAAATAATAATAAGAAAATTATCCCGATAAGGGTATACATAAAAAATTAATAAACATAAAAATAAATAATTAGTGTGATCTTTGAATTTGTATTAAATTTAAAAGTTGTTTAATTTGTGGTTCAACATCTGAAACACATAAAAGTAAGTTATTTTCTAGTGATAACAAACAATTTCTATACTTAGTTTTTATTGCCACCATGNATCCAAATACCAAGTTTTTTTGATAAAAGCATTAACTTTATCTGACATTATTAGAATGTTCTTTTCACGGCCTTGTAAGCTTATATTCAAGTCATTCAAATATGAAAATATATCACTCAAATAAGCCAAAAATAGTAATGTCTCATTATCTTGGAAAAAAGTTAAAAATGTTGTATTTCGATCTTTAAAAAATATTTTAAATTCTAATTTTAATTAATTTAATTAATATTTTAATTGCTTCTTTTGCACCTATCATAATATTGACAATAGCAGCGAGTAAAATGAGGTTCTCAACAATCGTGTGCGGCTTTGATTCCCTAGCTACCCTAAGTGCTACTAAATATGATGCTTCAAGTGTTGCGGTATTATTCTGACTTGATTTAAGAATACAAGTTTGTTGATTTTTTAAAAAAAAGTGATTTACGCTCAAAAAATCAATTGGTTTTTTTTAATAAAATTAGGTGATTTGTTTTCAGATGTCGAATTAATTTTGAAGGTTTCATACTTTCTTGGGATAGAACTTGAAAGTAAACAACACATTGCGGCTTATTATCAAGTGAAATAAACCCATACTTCAAATACTCGTTGTTATATGACCTGAATTTTTTTTTCGCTGGTTCGCCAGAAGTAGCGGAGCATTACGTTTTATTATATATTTATCCATAATCATTAATTCAAATTACACAAAACTAAAAAGACGCACTAAAAACCAACTTAATAATCGCAATATCACGACCCGATACAAACTTGATAAGCTTAAGTTACTAGATATGGTATTTATAAATTGATATTTAAAATGTTATATTTCGTTTGGTTAATGATAGGATATTTTTACTGTTTAAATTTTTACCTAACCTTGATAGAGGGGGGGGGGTGGTCGCGAAGTGATTGACTATATTTTATACCTATTTTGGGGATCGCGACACTAAAAAGGTTGAAAAACGATGCTTTATACTAAGTCGATCAAAGATTTAGGTGGCTTTGTCTGTAATAGTATCAAATATTTTGTTCTACGTATATTTTAAAATGTGATTAATATGAAGAACTGCGAGTTAAAAATGTAAAACCAATATTATTAAATAACTTAATTTAGATATAAATTGTATTAATTAAAAATAAATAAAAGTCTTCAATTATGTATCAATTTCATAATACATATTGTATAATGACTACAACATAAATTGTTAAAATAAATCTATTGATCTATGTTATAGTGTGTTAAAATATATTAGGCTGGTGATAAATTTTTTGTGGGATATCTACTATCTACCATTACAGGAGATTTGAAATGTACACCTTGTTAATATTAACTAGTTAAGTATGTAATATTCAGAGTACAATAGCAATTATAGTAAATTATTTGTTTCAAATTTAAATATTCCATAATATGTTGTACCTACATTTAACATTAGTGTATAATATCTGGTGAATTTTATTTTGGCCAAATACACAGAAGTAAATACATTTTTGAATTTAAATAGTTACAGTTTGAAAACACTATCCAGAAAATATCAAATGATAATTTTTTTAAATTAATATAATTTTTATGATTGTCTTCTATTGTCGTGATTTTGGAATTTAGAAAAAAAAATAATCGTGTACGGATTATTTAGATGTACATACATTTTAATGAAAATTAATTTGAGAAAATTGCAAGAGTTTAGGGAAGTCGGTAAATTTGGGCTTGGGACAGCTGTTATAGGGGCCGGGGCCTATGCATGAAGTTATGATAAATGTATAAACTGTAGCTACGGCGGGGTTGTGACACGGGACTTTTGAGATTTATCAATTGTAGTAGAGCGAATGGTAAGTGATGAGGGCGGCCGGAAAAATGACTGTTCAACATATATGTTATGAAGTGCTGCATACTGTCACGGGCTGACTTTCGTGTACAGTTATACATTGTGACACCGAACTACTGCCATATGAATCAATAAGAAATTTTAGAAACTTGAAGGCTACAATCAGCAAACTCATTGAACCTTACCACCAAGATCGCAATAACCTTATTCAGGTGTAGGACCAAGGGAGGTTTTGCTCACCATGCGGCGAATTGGACGGCTAAACCATGCAAGACCTCACGGATAGTATACGACCGTCGAACAGTATATATACTTGATATCGTAATGCAGTGAACACAATCGAGAAGTATAGAATTAACGTTCTGTACATAATCCACAGAATCTCGACACCAAAAACTTAGATGCCATTGAATAAAAACGGATCTGGTTTCATAGCCACCACTATATCGACCTGCGGAACAAGCAGTCAACTTTTATGTGTTAACTATTTGTGTGTTTATCATTAAACAAATTTTACCTACGGAGTAAGATATATTAGTCCGTAATTTTACCCATCTGATTTCCATAGATAATAAAAGTGTAGTTTACATTGAGCGTACTAAGCTTTGATAAGTGTCAAATTTGGTCTGCTACGCTACAAGGTTTATAGATAATATAGGTATTATCTATAAATCTTCGATACGCTTTGCTAGAGCGTATCAACATAGTCTAATACATTTCTGTTTACAGCAAAGACTTGATACGTATTAAATGGTTGGTACGCGTATCAAGTCGACTGTGTAAACTAAGCCACAGTAATTATTAATTATCTATGCTGATTTTCTGAGGTTTTTGTCAAGTTCATTTTTAATAATAAAATAACATCCTTTAAGATGGCTGGAGCAGGTCGAATAAAACACTTATAAAGTGCTGCGTTATTTTCGAACAAATAATTATTGGCATGTGCCTGCAAGCTCGAGTGGCGTTCGGCGGTGACAGCTAGAAGTGCCCGGCTCAAGGTCGTCAACAATATACCGATAAGAAAACCAATTGTAATATTGTAACAAAATGTAAAATAATCACCTATTTAACAATATTTGAACTTTTTTTTTTCTATTAAGATATGAAAAACAAAATATTTAATATACATCAAAATTAAATTTATTACAGAATTGATTAACACACCTCCTGTAAGCTGATGCAGCTTGTGTTGGAGATAAGGAGCTATGATTACTAATAAATCTATATATATAATAAATAAGAACATAGTGTAAATATATTTCAATTAAAAAAAAAAATTTAAATACATCTTGAAACAACTCTAAAAATATATAAACTAACTTATTTTCTAATTAACAATGTTATAGGCAAATAAATAAATAAAAGCAAATCAAAAATATGTGCTATAGGTTTAGGTACAATAAATAAAAAATAATAAAGTAAAAATGGGTTATATTACTGTAAATCCTTGTCTAATTCAAAGAATAAATATTTGTATGTTAGATCTTTAATATTTACAATTTCAGTACCAAGTATTTTTTATTTTTAAAGTTAGGGCATAGAGTTGAAAGAAGTTGGATCCTGATAGTCTACAAAACGCTGACCGAAAGTATTTGCATATTTAACAGTCAAATCATATTTTTTCATTTCCCTTTTCTTGCTTACCTCCTCTTAATCGTAATTTAAATTAAATTTCTTAACCAAATACATAATTGCATTTTTTTTATAGTAAAACCTTATAGGCAATACACCAAATTCTTTATAGTTAGCCTTTGTAGATTCTTGCAGAGTAAATTTATTTAGACAAATCCTAACTATTATTTCGATTAATTACTAATGCATTTAAGATATTATCTCAAAGGCTTCCCCATACTAATATGCCATATTGAAAGTTTGATTGATATAGTGCAAATTAAACTATTTTCATTGTTTGTTTTGGTAAAAAATCAATCCATCTATAAACAGAGATCATAAAAATAAATAAGTGCAAAATATGGACAGTTCCAGTCTAACAGTGCACAATCGGTTTTCATACAAAGAGAGTATAAATATAACAACATTAACCAATTTTACAACATTTAACATAACATGTACAAACATGACTTTATTTAAAAGTTAATATTTAATAAAAGATAAATTTAACTAGTGAAATTAAAAACTGATATGCAAAAAAAAATATTAACTTAACCAAGTTAAAAAAGTTTATTATTATTATTTCTTTTGCTTTTAAAAATAAACACAGAAAGTATTCAATATTGACCTACTAGTAGTACCATTACTGTTTTTCTTTTATATATTGTTATACAATTATAAAACTCCAAATAATATAATTTTATATAAAATAATTATATACTTAGGCAGAATACAAAAAACAATATACTATTATATTGTAACTATAATAATTGTGATATTTAAATTTTTCAACTTAAATATTAATTACACATTTTTTGATAATTTTATTACATTCTAAGGAAAATTGAAATATTTATTTCATTTCAATAATAACAACATTTTAAAATGTTTTTACACCATTTATCCCATTTTTTTTTTTTAAAGTACTGGTACACACAGTGAAAAAAATACCATAACTGGTTTGGTGTGCATTCAGATTAAATTGTAGAATTGAGAATAGCCAAATAAAATTAAATGGCAAATTTTGAAAAAAAAAATTGCTTTTAACTTATTTTAACATAACTAATGTTTATACTAATTAACTTTAAAAAGTTATTTAAGTTAATAGGTTAACAATAAAAATAATTAAGAAGTTAAAAAGTTTTAAAAATTTAATTTAACCTTTCACAATTAGTTAATTTAAAATAAACGAGTTTAAAAAAGTTAATGTTTTCATTATTCTGGCATATAAACCTTTCGAATGTGAAAATTAACAACATACTCAAAATTATCCCTTTGTACACTTATAGCAAAAGGGTCAGTGGGATGAAATGTAAATGCCACCAAGCGTCTGCGATCTAAAGTAGGTCCTTTTGATTCACTAGTATATAAACAAAAACTCAGTAATCCAGATTCTCTTGAATAAAATCTATTTAAATCCAAATAAAAATACATGCAATCACAATTATTTATTTGTGTATAAGAGGAGTTATAATTTTATTTTTTTTTACCTTATTGGATATTCACCAACTACTTTAGGTCTTTCCATTGGTGACACCCACTTTTCGTCATAACTATAAAGATATGTATCCAAATATGGAGAACTGGTGAATGATTGGGCAGCAACTGGTAATTGTGCTAAAATTCGTTTGTTTGCCTCCATTATACCACCAAATTTAGCATTTATAATTGTATTTTTAAACTTTTGGTGGGATTCCCTTAAAATTAAATACTTAAATGAATACAAATTAAATTTATGAATACATAAATACAAATTATATTCACTATTTAGTGTATTAATTTACCATGAATATATATTGTTTGCTGGAGAACAAGGCATAAATCCTTCTGGATTGGCATAAGAATTGCGAAAATTATCACAAAAATTTTCATATACTTTTAATAAATCGTCAGATGTGTTTTCAAAAACCTCTAAAACCTATATAATGTAAAAATATATTATTCTGTAGTGTAAATAGTATAAATATAAACAATTAAGTTACACCTTTTCTAAATTTTGAACTAATTATAAATTTATAGTGAGATGTTTTGTTTAGCAGTCGATTTTAAGCAACAAAATGATATGAAAACCTTTCTATTTATTGTACATTCTGATATTTTTAAATTTGTATTGTCTATCTAATATGAGATATTTCATATGAAATTTAAAAAATTTGTTTATCTATTGATTTTTTTTTTAGATATGAAATTTACCGTAGTTGTAACCATGTTGTAAACCATAAAGAATGATGCTTGTGTATTTGGTTCCTGAATTTTAATTGTAGCTACTTCTTCTGGTGCATATCTAATGAGTATATGATTTTCATCTAATAATTGCATCTTCCACATACGTAATGACAAAAACTATAAAATAGTAAACAGGTAATAAATAAGCAATTCAATAATTCTTAATAGGAAAATACTGTCTTACTTGATTGAAATGCTGATAAAATTTTCTAAGTGGATATTGAGTTCCAGTTTTCTGAGCTTCTCCTTCAGCTTTTTTGTATAAAAATATCATTAATTTATGTTTTAATCCATTTACGCTGTTTTCCCTAAAAGGCCTATACATTGCACGATTCATAATTGTGTACACTGAAGTAATTAATAAATGATCATCTTCATAACAAAATCGTCCAATTTTTCTTAGTAAACAAAAACGGTTTCGAATAATTTTATAAATATGGATTACTTGATGTTGAACAGATAAGACTGCAAGTGTATTATTAAGCAAGTATATACCTTGATTATGAGATAAAAATATTTTATCAGATTTAAAGTCTATATAGTGACTTACAGCCCCATGTTTTAAGTTAACCAAATGTATGGTATAGTCTTCTAAAGGAAATAATGGATTAGGACTTACGGCTTCGTTGTTGGTATACATTTCATAGAATTGCGGCCTCATATCATCAGGAATAACTGCAGCGGATCCTACCACAGCATAATGTCCATTCTCTGTGAATAAACTACATTCTCTATTCAATTGTTCTCCCTCGGGTGAAACTTTTATCCGATATTTCAGTTTAAATAACTGTTCAAATATTCGCTTACGGACAACATCACCTTCATTATTTTGACCAATACAGTTCCCTTCGTAGTTCTTCAGCAAATTAGCCGCCATTGAACATCCTAAATAATCATATACCTCTAAAGAAGATTGATCGTGAGAAAATGCTATAAAGTGACGGCCATCGGGAGTGAATTTTCGTAAATAACAAGGGGGTTTTTCAACATTTATAACTGTACAATTAGGACATACACATTGGTAAGTAGCTTTAATACAAGTCGTACGCGTTTTCATACCATTTATTTCGCGATCGTATAAAGAATGAAGTAAATTCCGATGAGGCACTTTCTTCTGTTTAATATCCCCAAACTCTGAGGGTAAATTTGACATTTTTATTCCACTGTGTTTATGTGTCTGTCTACAAATTTACTGTGATTTATGATTAGTCATCCAAACTGTTTAGATATGGTCCGCCGACCATAATCATTCAGATAAGGAACGCCCGTCTATGGTCATTTAGATAAGAAGTATCAGACTATGGTTATTTGATAAGAAACGCACGATAACTAATTTTTTTCAGATATTTGGAGGGTTCTACACTTAAATACTCTATGTAAGTATTTAAGTTTATATAATTTTATTATAAATATTCAGGATTATTGTTAACCATTAGGTTTCTTAGTATATAGTAAAATTGAAAAAATTATTTGATTTGTAATTAACCTGAGTCTGGTTTTTTTGTTAATGTGTTTAAATTATACATTATATTTTTATATATCTGTTAATATAAACTAGTGAATATCAATGTTAATGATGTTTGTGTTAATATTAATAGTGAATGAAGAAAAACAGACAGCATGTTGATACTTTAAAATTTAAAAAACAATCCTGCATATTTAAATAATAAAGGTTTTTCTTATAAACAAGTAAGTAGGTAGAGACTATCTTAAAACCAATGATTTCTGGTAATTTTTGTAATTTCATATACTCCATATAGCAGGTTTATTATGTGTGACAAATTGCCACTTGAGTATTACACCAAATCAAAAAGACATAAGTAAGCACATTTTTGAATAATTAAGGTATCTCAAAAATGAAATATAATACCAACTAAATTTATTGATATAATTAAAACTTACCTATCATACTTACTTTTAAAGTTATTGTACATAAACCTTGAAAAATATCAATTTGGGTGCACCTAGAGACCTGGCGGGGCACTCGTTTGCTTGGACTGTTTTAATTTAAAATAACACCGTGACCATTTTGTAAAATATTTTCAAATTTCACGAAGTATAAATAAACCATTTTCATTTCATAAAAAAATCAATTTCATGAAGTGACTATGATATATATATATACATATACATACAGGTGTATCACACAAATTTACCTATTAAAATATTTCCTGAAATGGAGATAATTAAATTTTGTTTTTTTTTTATTAATATTACTAGTTGCAGGGATTACAGACGTTTTTATTAAAATTCAATTTTAATATTTTGGTAAATAACTAAAAAATAACTTTCATAAATTTAAGATAGCCATTTTATAGTTTATTCTTCTTAAAATTTTAAAATTAAAATTTTTTATTATCATTAAATTAAAGATTTTGAATAAATTTTTATAGTTTATAGAAAAGTACCAATAATTATACAGCTGACTGTATCACAGTCATTAAAAATCATGAACTTGAGGAAAATAAAAAGTTGCAACATTAAAATTTTAGAAGAATAAATTCCATAAAATAACGATCTTTAAATTTTTCAAAAATAATAAAATAAAGTTTTTTACCAAAACATAAAAAATTAATAGAAACATAAATATTTGTCGACTTCATTCTTGTGAGTAATAAAGAAAAATAATAGAATTTGATCATCTTTATTATATTAGGAGATATTTTAATAGGTATATCTTTCTAGGACATTCTGTATAACTGTATATAAATCATAAAAATGATTTAATATACTTTTATTATTTTAATCAGTTTTAATAACAAAGTTTAAGATTTTACAAAATATTCTACAAAACATAACTGTTATTGGATTTTAATATACAGAGATAGATATATAATATATATTATAAATTATTATAATAAAAATAAATATAAGAGATTAATAAATTAATTTAAAATATAAATTTTAATATTTCACTATAAATAATTAAATTTTTAATAGTTATTGTCTTATGATAAATATGTAGTATGGAATTTATATTTTATAAAATATATAACTAACACATAACAGGTACAAATAAATATAATACATTTATACATTAAAATATTATGTGTATATATATATACAATATTTTAACAGTTCAAATTTTCTGTTTTCATTAGTTGGACCTAAATGGAAAACATTTACATACATCTCGCTTAATTTCCAAGTATTTATTTTCATAGTTTAATATATAAATCAGTCATTGATTTTAAGAAATCAAATTTTGTAAATTTCAATATTATCTCTAGCTTAAGATTTAAAAAGAATGTTTGCGAACATTTTCTAGATACAAGGAGTTACGTGTCTATCAGTGAATGATGTTTTGTCTTGATTTATCAGAAATATAACCAATTAAAAAAATATATGGTAATTTATTGAATGAAAATGAAACATTTAAAGAAACAATTACAAAACCTATTAAATAGTAATACCTACATATATTGGAAAAAAATGTACTTTATAAAAATACTATTTATATATTTAAACAAGAATAATAGTATAAAATATAGCAACCTGTCACAAATTTAACAGTAATCAGAAACTAATACAAATTATTTTAAAATAATAACAACATCAATATAATTTATAATTCAACTAATAAATAAATAAATAAATTATGATGAATATAATAAGAAATCATGTGAAAATCAAATCAAATTATATTATTAATTTATATAAATATCACAAATGTAATACTTAAAATACATTTATAGTAATAAAATAATCATAAATATAATTGTATAATTGCAGACAGTATATATTAGTCTATACGGTACAAGATGCCACAATATTAGGCACAATTTTTTTAAATTTTTGACAAAATAGTTATGTACAAAATTCATGCATCTACTAATTTATTATAGGGATATGGATGGTGATAGTTATGATGATCAGTAGTTGACAATATAGAAGACCTCTTGGAATACACAATAAACAGGGACAATTGAATGGCGGAAAGAATACAACCAACAGCATTCGGGTACTACAACAAAAATATAGAAATATAAACTTAAATACAAATTTTTAATGATAAATTGTACCCTGTAACCTAGTACTTATACTAAGACCTATACCTTAACTGTGATATATCTGATAATACATTTATCATATTCCTCCAGGCACATTCATTCATTAATTAATTTATGTTAATTTTTATTTTGTTGAATGGCCTATTACTAATAATTTTTTTATACATAAAATAAATAAAATTAAGACAAATGTCTAATTATTTATTGGCTAGCAATGTTATAAAAGTACATAAAATAATCATTTAAACCAATTGTTATGAAATGTATACTTATGTTTTAATGTAAAATTATATTTGTTAATTATAATTTAAAAAAGTATTATCTTAACTTTTTAGAACATAGGTAATTATTTTAAAATTGTATAAAGCACATATTTGTATTATACTTTAATTCCCTTGTTCTCCTAGTAGTTTAATAAAAAAATTTAATCATAACATTTATTTTTCTCATAATTTACCATGATAAACTTGTCACGCAAAATTTTACCATAGACCAACCACTGAGCTGAAACGAGGAATGTCATTGCAATCATAGGCATAGGTAATGATTCTGTATTTTTTGTTTTCATTACATGAATCTAAAACAAATTTATCAAAAAAAAAATGTGTAAGATTTGTTTTATAAATAATTTGTATTGGTGTGCAGTACGCCACTTACTAAATTAGATAATGGAGCTGCGAAAAATAACATAGTAGTTACACAACATATGAATCCAACACGGTCAATAGCAGTAGTAATGGTTGTGGATAAATTTGGTTGTTTTGGATCTAAAGGGCCTACTGCTGCTGTTTCAACTGTTTTCTGTTGATGGAACTCTGCAGGTGCTGACAATGTTAACTTTGTTTGATGTACAGTTGTGTCAGTAATGTATACAATCCAAAAAATGAAAGCTACAACTGATATCACACAGTGCACAACACGTTTCTAAAGAATATACAAAAATATTAAATTATTCTTAAGAATAAAATATGCTAAAAATGTATTTACTGATTTAAAGTTTGAAATTATAATGGCTAAGATATGCCAATATTCTTATGAGTAAATTAAAAAAATATATGTTAACTGTATATTAAATTATTATAAGATTCATACTATAGGGTACAAGTACCAAGCTACCAATAATGACTTATGTTTTAGATTTTGCCAATGATGAATAAAATTAAAATATTATTTATCCTTATTTTTAATAGTATTTAGTATTTTTTTTTTCATATGATTCTTTATTTAAAGACTTGTTACAATTTGAACAATAAGCCTAATTGATACAATAATATACAACACAGGAATAACAGATTGAAGTGACTTCCCAGTGAAGATACTTTGTCAAGGATGGTAGTTACACTTTATTATTTATGTTACACATAATTGTTTGTTTTAATTTTTTTTTTAATGTCTTCATCAATTTTTCTTTTCTTTTGTTCAATATTTAATGACTTGTGCCAATTTGGTTTAATCTGCTGCTATTTCCAACTATATATTACTTACCATCATCCAAACTGTTGGATGATTTTGTCCAACAAGTTGACTGAATGATTCCAACCATTATAGCATCAAATATTATTAGTTCAAGCTTTATCCTTAATAATTGCAGCATGAACTTTCCATAATTGTAATAGGAATAAAGGTAGATTATTAAGAAAAGCTGTACCACAGGTGTTACATTGGATTCACTGACATGTGCCATTGACATAGGTTTTATCGAAATTATTCAGAATTGTTTAGCATCAGAAGATACAATTTATAGTTAAATTTTGCATATATTTTAATTCTTTTTTTTTTTTTTAATTTTTAAGTGGTTAAGGAAAATATTTTCAAATACTTGAATTTTTCACGTTTAAGGAGTATCCTGTGTTGATACCATACAACTTTGGTTTTTCAAATGAGAACCTATATTAAAAATTCCATAAATAGGCAGAGTATTACTTCATTAAACGTTAGTGTCAACATTTTTGATTTACATCAACCGGTATATGTTTATAAACTTTAGAAGGGCTTTAACAATCTAATCTGAGGTCCCTATTTCTTTATTTAACCCTGACACAGTGTGTAATTTAAAATTTGAATTGTGTGGTACAGATTTGAGAAGTGTGTATTAAGAAATATCACTAATATACATATGAATATATATATAGATATACCTAACAATTGAAAATGTTAGAATTTTTAAAGCAAGAAAAATATCTATAACAAAAAAAATTGTTTTTATGTAGTGAGTGTTCTAAATTTTGTTGACTTCATAGGTAAAAAAGTTCACCAAACCATTGTTGTATGTCATGGTTCAACAATCATTTAGTTTAAATAATATGTATTATGCTTAGAAATTAGTGTTAAAATTACCAAGTACTCAAGAAATACTCAAAAAATATTAAAACCAAATTATAATATTTAATTTCACATAGCATAAAATATTATAGAAATACTATTACTGACTAATATTGAAAAACTTTTTAGGATGTAAACAAAAAGTCCCTGAATAAAATGGTAGTTAGAAAAATATTTTAGTTTTGATGGCCAAATATAAAATACAAAATACGGAATTATGAAAAAAGTTAATTTTTATTATGAATAAACATCTATTTTTAATTAAAAGTATCTATAAATGACAATTAAACAATGTAATTTATAATTATTAGGTATAGTTAAAAAAAAAAATAAAACAATCTTTCTAGCATTTGATCACTTTTGACATTTTTTAATAGTTTAATTAATTTTATAAATTTTTCTTAAAACACAATCTTTTAGGCACAATTTATTTTTATTTTTTATTTAACTGAAATATGTTTTATAGTAAGTAGTATGGTAGATATTAAATATATAGATTTAGTTCTATAATACAGAGAATAAAAAACAAAAAATATTTCATAGTGACAGACACAAAAAGAAACCTATATACCTATATAAAATATAGGGGCATTTTATTATTGTCTTATCAGTGATCTGGAGCCATTATAGTGACAACCAAATACACTTATTTTATTCAGGACAACGAGATACTTTTGAAATACAGTACTATTCCATAAAATATGGGTCACTAACTAAAATCTGATTTTTGGAGATAGGACCTTTATAGAGATTAATGACCGGGGCTTTAGAAACTAGTCCAACTGTGATAACACTAATAAATTTAATAAATTTACTACAACTTAAACTATAATATGTTTACTAATTTGTAATTAATTTCTAGTGTTTTATAGAAGTGAATGATTTTTAAACATTTATTTTACGAAATACCTTACTTTTTTTGTTGTGTACTTATAGTACATCCAAGTGTATGTGGCAAATAACAGACTGCCAAACGCATTTACTGACACCAATGTTCTGTTTGATAGTAGCATACCATAATACATCCACAATGAACTCCTATAACAATTGAGTTCATAAAATAAAAATCATAACAAGACTAATGATCAAATTGCAATAAGTTGTATATTGTTTACATAGTTTATATCAAACTAATATAAAAATATTATAATATTGAGTTTATATAATAGTATTATCTATATATTAGTGTAAATAAAGTTAAAAATGTGTTATGGAAACAATGGTATAATTAGGTTTTAAAAACTCACGACAAGAATCCAGTGACAAATGGCGCAATAGACTCGTTTGAGACTTTACCTTTCTTCATGAAATTGACACATATCAAACTGTAAAACAAAGTGTGAGTGTGAATTATTAGCTATCGTGGTCATTAGTATGTTAAATATTAATAATGAAATAACATATTGCAGTACCAAAACAGTACCGTAGCAGTTTTTAAGGCCGGTGTCACAAAACCAAATCGTGTTTATTAATTATTGCACCTTAATAGTGCTGTACTCACAATCCGGACAAAAACTGGGCACATGTACACGTTGACGCAGAAACACGAAGCGCGTACTCGTAGTCAAAGCCGTCAAGCATAATTGTCTTGATGGTCGATAGAATGATTATTCTGTCTGATTCTATGATCTAATTGTATTCTAGCACTAATGTTGTCAGGCACCAAGCCGAACACTTTGACAATGACTTTTGAAACGGAATCGACAAAGTACAGTGACAGGTTGAGTTACAAATGTTACAATAATGGTCCCACGTCATAACGATATAAAATTAAACCGAATTTCGAAAAACACTCCACTCATGCGTTTCACGTAGAAACCAGATGTTATTTACTACAATTACTACATAATAAAATATATGAGTCAATATTTGCTTTAAATATTACGAGTACGTGTAATTTTCGTTGGGCACTTTGTGTTTGTCTTTATTTACCTATTGTTGTGTTAATGATAATTATTATTGATAACAGCGATAAGAATTCGAATCCGGATGATAATATTGTAACCATAGAACATGTACAGGCCTTCGCACACGCTAGAGTATTTTTGCCAGAACCAAGGTGGGAATCACATACATATTTATGATATATATGTTTAGGAAAAAATACATTGTTAAAAATGATAAAGTACTAACCATATTCAAAAATATTTGTATTTATTTGATTATTATTTAGAACATATATTATGGCTGTTTCCAAGCTATAAACAAGTTTCATTAGTGTACTTGCCGGTGTGAATAAGTGTCCTCCACTTCTGAGGTTAACAATTTGGGGCTAAAGTTGGCTGTATGGATCATAAATATAAACTTACGAAATACATTATATAATTTTATTTAAATACTAGAAAGATTTTTGCCTGTAGAAAATATAAAAACCAAGTGTCTGACCAAAAAAAATTTTTAAAAAAATTTGACTTTAATAAAATATATTAAAATAATATAGTAAAATTATTAACAAAAGTATTATTACTCATTATCAAAAGTAATTACAAGTACTATCTCCTAATAATAATCATATCAAAATAATAATTATTGTTCAAACAATAATTACCTATTGACATGATATGATTGATATGTAGGTACCAACATTATATTATTCATGAATAATAATAATTAAAATACATACAAATAACACAGTTTCTGGTCCTCCATCGGGTAGGTAGTGAACCTAGTGACAATTTTGACTGCATACTGGTTATGTTTTCAACCAACTGATAAGCCAAGAGTTTACACCAAGGAGGTTTAATAAACTGTAAACTCAGGCGTAGTAAGCAATTACTTTTGTGTACATCGTTTGCCATTTAGCATCTTGTGGTTAAGTTATACACCATTGTATGAACACCACAGGAATTTAGAATAAGAACATTTTTTGTTCGCCATTCATTTTTGTTGAAGAACATTTTCACTTTTTATGATATCATTTATAAGCATAGCTATTTAATTTTGTGTTAAATGATTTGCTAAGTTTATTAAGCTTATTTCAATAATAATCATCAATTATAACAATTTGATTGTTCATCAAGTACAGTTCATCAAGAAATTTTGAAAATGTCGAGTGACGAGGAAGCACATTTAAAGCCATCTACTTCTCAAACTAATGTCCCGGCCCACAAAGAGCCAAATGAGCAAGGTGCTGCTGCTCAAGAAGTAGGTGAAGCTAGTACTAGTGCTCTGCAAGTATTTGAAGAAAAAACTCCAGTTGATGAATACATTCGTCTACGTATAATTACTAGCGATATGACAAATGAAGTGCATTTTCGTGTTAAGGCTGGTACAGCATTGGGCCGTTTGAAGCGTTCATACAGTAACAGACTCGGTTTTCAGCAAGACGAATTGCGTTTTGTCTTCGATGGCCATCGCATCCATGATGATGACACACCAAAGTCATTGAACATGCTTAATGATGATGTGATTGAGATATATCAAGAAAGAACTGGTGGTATGTAATGCAAACCTGTAAAATTAATTAAATTTTTAATTTAAACATTTGCTTTGTACTAAAGTTTCTTACTTAATTTCACATCTAATAAAATAATAACTTTTTTTTATAATTTGCTATATTTCAAAGGTTTTCATAAGTTAAAAAAAGGATCAAACATTAAACTTTCAATTTCATTTATTCATATCTAGAACTCATATTTTTGTTGTACACCTTTATAACATTTTCTGTTGAAAAACATTTTTAATTGAATAAACAATATGCTATAATTATAAATTGTAATGTCTTATGAAAAATATGGAGTACTCTAATGTTTATACAATATACACATTGGTGCCTTTAAAAGTAAATTAATTCCTTTCAAAGCAAAGATGTGCGGAGGAGGGAGGGTAACAATTTTTTTACACATCAAATAGTTACACGTGTTACACATTAAAATATAATAAAATACATTACACTGTCCCGGCGACAAATTTATAAGGGCGGCAGTTTTTGTATTTATTTATTAAAAATAATAATGTCTATACACTATACTATTGTACACATTGTATATATTTTGTATTATACAATTTATAATTTTGTAATTTGTTCTAAACTAATGTTAGCCGCTAGGTACGGGTACCTAGTACCTACCTTAATATGAAACAATTTAAAAATAATATATCATTGACATAATACATAAACCGTTTACACATACGAAATATTGTTCGCAAAACAATTCCAAGTTTGTTATGTTATAAATACAGACTATGAAAACCGAAATCTATTATTATGAAGTTGTATTCTGGATGGTGAGAATATTGATAATGTAGATAGGTGCTCATTACTCCACTGCCTACCAGCTATCTGTATTTAATGTATAATGTTCTAAACGAATGTTAGCCGCTAGGTACGGGTACCTAATACCTACCTTAATATGAAACAATTTAAAAATAATATGTCATTGACATATTACATAAACCGTTTACACATACGAAATATTGTTCGCAAAACAATTCTAAGTTTATTACGTTATAAATACAGACTATGAAAACCGAAATTTATTATTATGAAGTTGTATTCTGGATGGGGAGAATATTGATAATGTAGATAGGTGCTCATTACTCCACGGCCTACCAGCTACCATGCTACCAGCTATCTGTATTTAAAATAAATAAAAATAGTTGTGTATTTCATATTTGATCGTTCATTCTTTGTTCTGAAAATGTTTGGTCATTCTTGATTTCATAACCTCTGTCATCTGCTGTTATTACTGATAAGATTTTCTTAAAATGTTTTTGTTTAAGTTTTAACTAACAATAAATTAGTATATTATTCATACCTAACCGAACCTGAAGTGTTAGGTATCTTTAAATTTGAAGTATGGATGGTCGCTCAGTAAGCTCAGTCAGCCAAGCGGCGCTCAGTATAAAAAAAAAAGCACTCATAAAAAACAGAAACATACTGTTCTTTTATACAGTTGTATGAAAATTGTAAGACATGTTTAAATTTTTAACTTGAAAAACTGAAGGTAAATTGTTGTTTTATTTTACTATTTTATTCATTTAGTATAAGTATTAATTATATAGGTATTATATTACAAAGCTAGTTTCTCTTTTATTAATTTAATACAAGTTTGCTATTTTTAAATTATTTGAATACTATTTATTTATAATAATCAGGTGCATGAAACAATTTAATAATAATACAATTAAAAATCTTTATAGCTTGGTTTAATGTAGTGTATTCAAGTTACTAAAAATTAAAAAATATTGTTAAGTTACTTAGTTAAAATGTCCTATAATACTAAATACTTAATTTCTTACAAGTCATAATGAATAACAGTTAATAAGTTTATAATAGTTGACCATATACTTATTATATAGCGATGAATAAAAATATTGCGAACAAACCTTGTTTTTTTGAAACAGCTAATGTTTTACCTAATACTGTTGGCAGTTTACCAGACAATGTACCAGTTATTGAATGTAAGTATTTAAGTTTTGATTATAAGTATTTTTAGTTATTACTATAATTTAATCACAGTATTTATTGGTTTTTGAATAAAGTTTTTAAAGCAGTTGTGAAGTCATTAAGGCAAGGGGATTACCATTTGGGGTCATGATTCAAAAATAGGAAGTTCTAATAATGGAAATTTGTTAATAGCTTTAGAGTTTATTGCAGAGTTTGATTTATTTCTTGCCACTCACCTATCAAAACATGTTAATAATGGAAAAAGAAAAAATTCTTACATATCTTACCAAACTTATGAACAGTTTATTTGTATAATGGCTTAAGAAGTACAGAGAACCATTATTGAAGAAATAAAAACTGACAGTTATTACTCTATAAGTGTTGACTCAACACCTGATATTGCGCATACAGATCAATTATCTTTCATTATTTGGTATTTAAATGAAAATAGTTAACCAATAGAACATTTTTTTGTGCTTTATAGAAGATGTCTGGCATAAATCTGAACAAATTGCTACACCAGTCTTTTCAATTTTTGATAAATACAATTTAAATCTTAAACATTTAAGAGGGCAATTGTATGATAATGCCAGTAATATGGCAGGTATATTTAATGGATTATAAACAAGAATTAAAAAGTCAAGTCCACATGCACAAATTGTTCCTTGTTTGGAGCATTCCCTTAACTTAGTGGCACAAATGCTGCTAGTTGTTGCCAAAATGCAGTTTGTTTTTTTGACTTACAAAACTTTTGACTTGAAGCAAAAAATAATTATTCTAAAATAAAAAATTAGGATAAATTTCTAAATTTTCTTTTTACATAATAGATTAAAAAAGTCCTAGACATTTGTAACTGTAATTTTAATTCCTTTCACTTTTTACTCGTGCCGCTTTACAGACATTCAATGGGAAACTACGAGTGACTCAGTGTGTGAAAATCGTCTTGCTTCACGATTAAATACCTCTCACAACGATTGACGAATATTTTCTAGTAGGTATACTAGTTGTGTAGGGACCGACTTAAGGTAATTAATAGAATTATTTTTAATTTTAATTTTATCAAAAATAAACACTGAAAAAAACCATTGAAACAAATCTGGGTTAGTTATGGTATATAGCTTGCATCGTCATAAAGTAGATATTATCTATTACGTAAAATATAATTTTTTTTTTTTTTTAATTCGTTATAAAAATAACCGCTTTCAAATTTTATAATTTAAATTATTGTAATATGACATACATTTTCATAGGACTCTATTAGATTTTATGTCAAACCATACAAATTGTTTTAATGATAAGACTATGATAAGATTGTGATAAGCACGAGTTATCACATAAGTTATTAAATATGTTATGTTAACATATAAATTATTAAATATGTTATATAATGTGTCACATCATCTTAAAACATCGTTTCTCAACCTTTTTAATGTCGCGATCCCCCCTCTATCTAGGTTAGGTAAAAATTTAAACAGTAAAAATATCCTATCATTAACCAAACGAAATATAACATTTTAAATATCAATTTATAAATACCATATCTAGTAACTTAAGCTTATCAAGTTTGTATCGGGTCGTGATATTGCGATTATTAAGTTGGTTTTTAGTGCGTCTTTTTAGTTTTGTGTAATTTGAATTAATGATTATGGATAAATATATAATAAAACGTAATGCTCCGCTACTTCTGGCGAACCAGCGAAAAAAAAATTCAGGTCATATAACAACGAGTATTTGAAGTATGGGTTTATTTCACTTGATAATAAGCCGCAATGTGTTGTTTACTTTCAAGTTCTATCCCAAGAAAGTATGAAACCTTCAAAATTAATTCGACATCTGAAAACAAATCACCTAATTTTATTAAAAAAAACCAATTGATTTTTTGAGCGTAAATCACTTTTTTTAAAAAATCAACAAACTTGTATTCTTAAATCAAGTCAGAATAACACCGCAACACTTGAAGCATCATATTTAGCTTACAAGGCCGTGAAAAGAACATTCTAATAATGTCAGATAAAGTTAATGCTTTTATCAAAAAACTTGGTATTTGGATTATTCGTCTCGAAAAACGAAATTTTGATGCATTTGATTTAACATCAAATTACATTGAAAAAAATGTAAACTTAAAANTGTTTTGGATACCATGAAAACACATTTAAGAGAATTAAAAATTCAATTATTCGAATATTTCTCATGTAACGACAATGACTTCTCAAATAGATGGGTTCTTAATCCATTTGATGAAAATATTGTTGCAGTTGCCAAATTACCAGTTGATACTTACAACCAACTGATAGAATTATCAGCTGATAAGACATTACAGCTACAATTTGCATCTCAAGATTTAAATAAGTTTTGGATTGCCCAGAAAAATGAATATGGAAGTTTAGTAACAGAGGCATTGAAAATTTTGATTCCGTTCGCTACTTCTTATTTATGCGCAAAAGGATTCTCATCCATGGTGGCAATAAAAAATAAGTATAGAAATCGTTTGTTATCACTAGAAAATAACTTACTTTTTATGTGTTTCAGATGTTGAACCACAAATTAAACAACTTTTAAATTTAATACAAATTCAAAGATCACACTAATTATTTATTTTTATGTTTATTAATTTTTTATGTATACCCTTATCGGGATAATTTTCTTATTATTATTTTAATTTTTTCAATAAAAAGTCTTAAATATTTAAATAAAAAGGTACATTTTGTAAATCAGTGTTTTATTATTTTTGACTTGCGCGACCCCGAGTCAAGATGTTCGTGACCCCCGCCCCCGGGGTAGCGACCCCCTGGTTGAGAAACGCTGTCTTAAGAGATAATTAAATATAAAACATGGCGCAGTTGGTTGTTGCTTTTAGGAATTTGTAAAAACTGGATTTAAACAGATAAAAATGGAATTCAACAAACTGGAAAGCTTAAAATTATCCGGTTTTATAGCAGAGAATTTTAAGCTATTTAAGAATGAAGTTACAGTATCTTTTGAATCAACAGAGGCGATTCTAAAATCTCAAACAACACAGGTAGCAAGATTACTTAACTTAATCGGCACGGATGGGCTGAAGTTGTACAGGTCAATTAAGAGACCTAAAGATGAAAAAGAAACAGTTGAGACAATCTTAAGACACTTGGAAAATTATTATATACCTAGGTGCAATGAGATAATGGAACATTTTAAATTCTTTACTAGAAAACAATTGTGCGATGAGAAATTTGATAAATACTATGCTGAACTAAGAGTATTTGGAGAAATTGAAGACAGATTACTAAGAACACAAATTGTATTAGGAATAGCAAACAAAGAGTTACAAACCAGAATGCTGAGAGAAGAATTAACATTGGATAAAGCAATTCAATTGTGTCAAGCAGCGGAACAAGCTGAGGTAAACAACAAATTATTGGAAGATCAAATTAAAAAAGTTGATATAATGTAGCAATACAAGAAAATAACACGGAATCAAGGAAATGAGCAGAACCAGGACAGAAGACAGAATCAAACCCATAAAAACGGGAAGAATAATCAAGACAAGGTATTTAATTGTAATAAATGTGGTAAGCAACATAAATTTAGGGAATGTCCAGCATATAGAAAAGAGTATAGGAAATGTAAAAAGTTAAATCATTTTGCCCACAAATGTAAAAACAATAAACAAGTTGACATGGTTGAATGTGAAAGTGATAATATGAGTATAGAGTATTTGACATTAGATGAAATAGATAATAAAGACAATAATAATATTTGGTTAGAAAAGGTTAAGATTAATGACATAAACACTGAAGTAAAGATTGATACAGGGGCGCAATTAAATGTAATGTAATGAATAAGTTTTATGAAAAATTAAAGGCAGTAAAAAAATAAAAAACAGTGAGGTGGTAATCAAAGTGTTTGGTGGGACAATAATTAAGTCATTAGGTAAAGTACAGGTAGCTGTTGTAGGTCAGTCAGCACAAATTATTACAATATTTGAAATTGTGGAATATGATGGAAACCTAAATTTAGGGTATAAGGATTGTAAACGATTGAACTACATTAGTGAGTTAAATGAGATAAAAGGAGTTAGCATAGAAAAGTTTATAAAAAAACATGTAGATGTATTTACAGGCATTGGCTGTTTTCCAGATAAAGTTAAGATAAAGGTAAAACATGGAAGTGTACCAATAATAAATAGTCCCAGATGTGTCCCCATAAAACGAATGCGAAAAATAAAGGAACTTTTAAAAATGTTATGTTTTAAGAAAATAATTGAGAAAAGAAATAGAAAATAAATACAATACCAAAAAAATAAAATAAAATATTTAGGTTTGAAATTTAGTGAAAAAATAATAGAACCAGATGAAGATAGAAATAAAAGCCATATTAGAGTTAAAAAGTTCTACTAATTTGAAAAAACTGCAATCAGTATTAGGAATGGTGAACTATTTAAGGGCATTTATACCAAATATGGCAGATATAGTAGAGCCAATGAGAGCTTTATTAAAGAAAGATAAAAGGTGGTATGGAGTGATAATTGTGAAAGGTCATTTAATACATTAAAATGAATTTTATCAAAAATTCACATTTTAGCCAATTATGATGCCAAAGATGAGTTCAGAATTCAATGTGATGCATCACAAAAAGCTATTGAATGTTACTTATTTCAGAAAGATAAACCTGTGTATCATGCATCTAAATGTTTAAGTATAACTGAACAGGGGTATGCTCAAATTGAAAAAGAAATGTTAGCAATTAAGTTTTCATGCATAAAATTCCATAGGCTTATTTATGGACAGAAAGTAATTATGGTATAAATGGATCATCAACCCATGATTTCAATAAAAAATAAAATAAAATACCGAATAACAGAATTAAAAGAATGAAGGTAAGCTTGATGATTTATAACTTAAAGTTAGAGTACTGTCCAGGGAAATATTTATATGTAGCTGATTTGCTTAGTAGAAATTATAAACAAAAAATTGAGAAAACAGATAATACTCTTAAAGATATTGTACATACTATGGAGGTTGTTTACTTAAAATTTGAAAATAATAAAGAGGGTAAACTTAAAAAAGCTATATTAGAAGATAATACATTAAAATTAGTAGAACAGTATCTAAGAGAGGAATGGCCTAAAAAAAATAAATAGTTTAGGGGATATCAGAGACTATCATAAAATAAGAAATGAGTTAATGTTGGAAAAAGGTTTAATTTATTATGGATGTCGTTTGGTTGTACCTAGAGTTATGTGTAAGTACATTATTACAAAATTACATGAAACACATTTAGGTATAAACAAAACTTTGAAAAAAAACAAACAAATTTTTTTTGGCCTGATATGGCATCAGATATAACAAATGCATTTAGTATATGTGAAACTTGCATAAAATTTAGTATCAAAAAAATTAAAGAACCATTAAAACAGCATGAAAGACCAAGTTTTCCTTTTCAAAAGGTAGGTTTAGATATAGCAGAAATATTTGGTAATAATTATCTTATAATAATCGACTATTATTCCAGATGGTTAGAAGTATTAAAATTAAAAGACAAATCAAGCCAGTCAGTTATNGAGTTATTAAAAGTTGTGTTTAGTAGGTTTGAAATTCCCAAACAAGTAGTTGCTGATAATAATCCTTGTGGCTCAAGAGTTTATAACATTTGCCACACAGTGACAATTTGAGGTAATATTGTCTAGCCCATACTATGCAAAAAGTAATAGGTTGGCAGAGAAAGCAGTAGGGAAAGTGAAAGGGATGATTACCAAAGCTAGATATGAGAAAAAAATCTTAATTTATTTTTACTCAATTATAGAAATAGTCCAGTGGCAGGTTTGGAATACTCGCCTACACAATTGTTAATGGCAAGGGAGCTAAGAACACTTACCAATTTTTTAAATACAAATATTTTTAAACCAAAATTAGTAAATTGTGCTGGAGAAATGCAAAAACAAGAAAATTATCAGAAACATTGGTATGATAAAACTGCAGGGCCCGAGGAAAAACAATTTACAGAAGGTGAAAAAGTTTATATATATGATAATTTAAAAAAAGAATGGGATGAAGGAGAGATTGTTAAGAAAACAAAATGGTCCAAGTCATACTATGTGAAAAATGCAAAAGGGAAAGTATTGAGAAGAAATAATTGTTATATAAAAAAGAAATTTAAGATTAAGGATAAGTTTATTAATGATGATGTNATGAATATAGATAAAAAAGAGAATGATGATAGTAAGAAAGATAACGATAAAGATGACAGTAATGAGAATAAAGGTTCTGGGAGTCAGACGTTAATCACTGGCAATAATAACAGAAAACAACTAGAGGATTGTAAGAAAAAAGAAGTGACAGGGTGTATTAGAACAAGGGCTGGTAGACAAATTAAAAAACCAAATAAACTTTATTTGTAGAATCTTAAGAACTAGTAATTATTATTTGTATTGTTTAAGTTGTAAGCACATAACATATTGTGTACCTATATTTATTTAGTTTCTATATATTGTATTCCTAAAGATGTTGTAATGATAAGACTATGATAAGATTATCATAAGATTGTGATAATCACGAGACATCACATAAGTTATTAAATATGTTATACAATGTCTCACATCATCTTAAAAGATAATTAAATATAAAACACAATTAAGCAAATGCTATACGTCTTGAACCCTGCTCTTAATATTAAAGTTGACTAAAAATAAAAATGTTTCAAATTATTCACTTGACCACGTATCCACCAGTTATAATAATTATTGTTACTATTCCTTTCTACCCGACTTCCTATGGCTTAAATAATCCACTGTAATATGCGTAGTTTATCTATATTAATATTTAAGTTAAATTGTTACATTTCCAAAATGTCCAATAACGTGCTTAACTTTTTATTTGGGAACTTCTTACCAGACAATTTTTGACTCATTAAATTAAATTTTAATTGTTCTCAATATAAACTTTTTTACCCATTTGCGGTTTAATTTTGAAAATACATTTTTAGTGGTCAACTAAATTGTGTACTTGTATGAAAACATTGTTTATAGTGTAAAGTTTAAAGTTTCTAGATTGTGGTTTGGGCTGTGTGTTGATACGTCAGTCATTAATTTCTTCTCTTATAGAATATTATTATAAATGTTACATTTTATAGTAGAATTATTGTATAAAAAACGGACGTACTTCACAGGATGGGTGCCCATTGTTGTCGGTGAGAACGAGAAGTTGGAAGAAAGTAGAGGGGAAATTTAATGTATATCTGTACTCGATGTTTAACTATTTCTAATGAAAACAGTTCTGAGAGGAGTTTGGTTAATATTGTTGCTTTGTAATATTCAATTTTTTTTTTAACCACAAATTATCTCTTGTTAAATTTACTAGCATTTCTGTTTAGTCTTACAGTTTTATCTACAGAATACCTACCGAACAAAAATTACATAAAAAACCGTAAACATAAAACGTCTATAAATAGTTGGCAACAATGTTTTTAAAATTTTACCACGTCTAGAAAAGACAAATATAATTTTTTTGCCCAAACTTCAAGTCTCTGCAAATTAATTTAAATTAAATTAATTTTAACTGAATCAAAACAAAACAAAACGGAAACAAACAATTGAAAACAATACATTTTGTAAATTTGTCCATTTTTCCTAAGTTTTTTCCTGTTTTTCTTCCATTTTTTCCCATTTATTGGGAAAATTAAAAAATTACCACGTTACAATATACATATTAAGACTTATTATGCAATATACATATTAAGACTTATTATGTTTATATAATTATGTTTTTATTTAATATTTTGTATGATATTTTAATTTATTGTAGTTTTCCGCAGTGGTCGCGTTTACTCGTATCCGTGGAAATAATATATTAATTAAGTACACAAATTGTATATTATTGATTTACGTGAGCTATACACCTAAATAAGTACATATAATAAGGTCTAAAAGTTTTATTTTTGTACTTGAATAATTAATAACGAATTAATCCAATAAAGTCACCAGGATCGTAATCGGCAACTGCTCAATAGGTAAGGTTTTATTATAATTTTTCGTCACGTTAAATGTGTGCGTCTTTATGTTATTCTTTGGAAACTGAAAACATAAAACCTACACTGAATTTTATTTATAGCGAAACATAATAAATTACTTTAATATTAAATAATTTAATCAGTGGTGTCGTTTAAATTTATTTTTTAATATTCATACATGTTTATGCAAGCCATAAAACTTGCCTAGAATTTTCAACGTAACAGAAATAAAATAATCTAATTATTATTTTCCAACAAATTTATTTAACTATTGAATAAAACATTAAAAATTAACTAATAAACTTAAATATACGAATTATCTGGATTATAAATATCTACGCAATTTCTTAATCATGTTTTTTTTTTTTTTGTTTCAAATCAAAAGAAGAAGAAATAATTAATTTCAAAATAAAATACGTATGTTGTAACGAGACCAATGTAAGAATAGGACTCGAAGGAAAAATGTTTGAAATAAAACAAACTCCAAACAAATAAACTTGAGTTTATAAATAATTAATATTTTCCACACAAAAAAACACAAGTCCAATAAATAAATTCACAAAAAATAAAAAAAGTCCAAATAATTCAAATCACAAATATCGAAAAATATTCCAAGTCCAATTTAATTTCACACGCAAAAATATTAAAAGTCCAAAAATATTTACATAAAACAGAGTGACGCGAAGTTGCTCGCATTTGACCGTGGTGGACTTGTCTTATTGTACGATGATTCGAACGACGTTACATGTATTATATACTCTGAGAGACCCCGCAACCCGTCGTTCGTAGTGTGGCTGTCTACATTATTTCGTCAGTGGCCCCCCGCATTTCCTGGAATCTAAGTATTGCTCGTTGGTTGATTATCTCGATTATACGACCGTGTCCTCGCGCGCTGTTACGCCTAATTTTACAAATTAAAGGGAGTACATTTTACTATTGCTTTCGGCTTCTTCTTTTTTTTCGGTTGTTGACGCTATCGTCTCACCGGCGCCGTCACTGTCGCCGTCACGTAGCGGCCATCTCTTTATTTCGTAGATGGTGCATTTCCGTATTAAATAGTATTCTTATATTTTTTTTGATTATACGTATGCCAATGCGCTGTCGCCGCTGCTTTAAGCCTATCCGCGCTCTTGGTATATAAAACGTGAAATTGTATTCTTAGCTCTCGGTTTTGGTTGTGGTCCCCTTTTTGGATAATAATTACTACAGGTTCACGCGCGTATACTTATAGTAGCATGTGGATACGTAAACCAGTATGTCACTACAACCAATATTCAAATAATTTATAACGGGTCAAATAACTTTAATATAGGAGTTTAAATACGCAAGTGAATTCAATAATTATTAAAAAATATAATAATAATAATTAAATAGTATAATATAATAGTTAATAATTATATATATATATATATATATATTTATATATAGGTAATATAATATTTATAATTATTATTATTGTGATATTTTATAAATGCGACCACAAACGTCGACCGTTGTCACCAGTCGCCAGTGCAATACTGTAGTCTACCAATTGCAATAACTATTACTTTTGTTATTACCTATCATTTATTATTATATTATAATTTATTTATTATAATATATTATAATTAATGGTAATATCAAAGAATATAATAATAATAATAATGCGGTATCCAATTACCACCGATTATAGATTATCTATGCTATTACTTTCACGATACCCAGATCTACCCTTCTAGCCCTCTTTTCGTAGTCACTAACTAGTAACTACGTTCTCTGACGGAAATAAGACCATATAGGTATATTTATAAAATATTTTTAACATCGTCTTTTGTCGATAATTCCGTTTGAATATTTTTGGATAGTGTCTACTCAGTAATCAGTATCAGTATCGCCCAGATATACAGCAGTGATTCCCAACCTATAGTCTGTAGACCACCGGTGTCCGTGAGACATTGTGTGATTGTCTGCAAGGCCATATCTATAAAATATAAATAATTATTTAATGTAAATCAATAGTGGTTATTGAAGTTTACGTCGTTTATTTATGTATGATACATTTCTCATTTTCAGCAATTATTGCTATGTCGATGGCAAAACGTTACATATTTATTCTCTGGCCGTTAATTTTTATTTCTAAATTGGTCTCTTCCTTTATCTTATCTATTGCTTCTTGGGTAAAAGCATTGAATATGATTGGCGAAAGTGCGCATCCTTGTCTAACTCTTTTGTTTATTTTCGCCTCCTCTATACGATCTTGGATTCTTATGATAGCTGTTTCATACTTATATAGGTTGTAAAGAAGTCTATTCTCTGCATCATTTATTTCCACTCTGCTTAGTATGTTGCACATTACTGTCCAGTCCACTTTATCATACGCTTTTTTGATATCCACAAAGGCTATTAAAGTTTGTTTGTCTTTTCTATTCCTTTTCTAAATGATTATTCTTAATGTCAATATTGCTTCCTTCGTTCCCATGTTCTTTCTGATCCCAAATTGGTCTTCTGACAGTGACTGTTCTATCTTGGCTTCAATATGTTGGAATATGATTTTTGTTAAGACATCATTGAAGCATGGGATGGCAAGCTAATAGTACGGAATTCTTCATATTTTTTCGCTGCTGCTTTTTGTAGAATGGGTTTAATTAAGTTTTTTTTGTACTCCTCAGGTACCTCTGTTTCGTAAATATCTCTGATAATTTAAAATAATTCGTTTTTAACTTTTTCTCCAGACTCCTTCCAAAGTTCCGCTTGTATTCCGTCATCACCTGTTGCTTTTATATTTTTTAGATTCCTTAAGGCTTATGTTAATATTACCTGTTTAATACCAAAAAAGTACTGGGTTAAATAAAAAAAGGTCATTATTAGTAAATCGTGGCCTATCGAAAGTTCTTTTGGAGTGGTCTGTGTGTCAAAAAGGTTGAGAACCATTGATCTAAAAACTAACCAATTATTATTATATTATTAATTATATTAATAGTTACTTAAGTTTTTTTAATTCGTTGAAGATTAGTCCGTATAGACTATGGGTTATATATTATAAACTAAAGTAATATGATTTTTACTTTCTATACATGGATATAGTATAAAATATTTTTGGAAAAAAGCTATAAATTAAATAATAAATAATGTTGAAACGTCGCACAAATAGTATAATTTCGTTGATAATTTTACTTATAACTAAACATTTAAAACAAAAAAAAAAACTAACTTTAAAAATTAGGTTTTGATTTTGGTTATGTATTTTAAACATTTAAAAAAGTTGTTTCGGTTTAAGTTTCCGATTATAATTAACACAAAGTTCCCGGTTCTATAATTGGTTATTTTCGGTACAGATACAGTTCCTGGTTTTAATTGTGGAAATCACTATAAACATATGTGTATATATAGTATATATATATATATATATATATATATATAAGTTAACAAAAATAGATCTAGAAGAATGACTAAAAAAGGCAACGTTGCAATTCAAGACGAAATCAACAACAATGAAGATTGGAAAAACATGTTAGAAAAACCTGGAATTTATGGTAATGAAGAAAAATATTTGAAAATAATTAACCGTATATCTATATATTATTATTTCTTATTATAGTCGTTGACATATATACAGATTGGTGCGGTCCTTGTGTGCCAATGGTTGTATTTTTAAGAAAAATTAAATTGGAATTAAACAACGAAAATTTACATTTCGCTATTGTAATTATTTTATGTATAGATCATAACGTGTGTTTATTTAGATAGATAGTATTATGAGCTAAGACTATCATGAATATGACAAACTATATAAGTATCTTTAGTTTCAGGGAGAAGGGATTAAGTCAATTTTTAAAATTTGTTTTATTATTTTTCTCTAATGTTATTTGTTGGTCTAAATTGCATAAGTGTATTGTTTTTTTTCAAAATTAGTGTATGTAGTTTATAAGGCAGTGAGTATCTTAGAATATGTGTTAGAACGATGATTTTTCTACACTCTTCGAATTTCTCTTTGAGACTACCCGAGTCTTTTAGGTTTTAATTATTATTCTAAACAACATTCTTTCCATAGCCATTTAAACTCTAAAACATTTAATTATTATTTAATTAAGTTATTTATTTCAACCATTCAAGGTAATTTATTTTCTTTTTTTAAGTTCCTTTAGAGCCAGCTGTTTCAAATTCTAGATGATCCTTTATTGTGTTGTATTTCTGTTTTTTGTTTCATGATAATTTGAGTTCTATCAATCTCTTCTTTCTTATATAATTTGTCTATATATTAATTCTAGGTTAATTAACTTAACTTTTACTTAATTGTAATATTATGAATAATTTAATGAAGATAGTAAAATTAAAAAGTAAAAAAAAAAAACTCAAAGTAAAATCAATAAATCCCTCACTACGTTCAAAATCTAAAAATAATAATAACCACCAGTGGGCGTACAACGAAATAAAATACAACTAAATTTTTTAGTATATTTTTAAACTGAAAATCGTGACCATTTAAATTCGAGAGAAAATTACGATATTTATTATTTGTTGATACGCAGATGCAATAAATCACATGTTCTATTGAAAATTCGAAATAATGTTTTTTCAGAGAATATCGTTGTATGAAAAGTTTTTTAAAAAAGAGCAAAAAATGATTTAAAATGTATATGAGACTAGAACCTAAGACGGCTGGTTTTTCTTATCAATGCTATTGTGTCAATAAATTCAGCGATCGAGAGCTTTTTTTTAGCATATTTAATTAGAAATATAGATTCGAACACGAGTGTATTAACGAGATATTTTTTTTTGGATTTACGGGGATATTGGTATATCCTTGTAATTAAACCTTAGTAAAAGTACTTTTGGACAAATTATTGGTCATTACTGAAAGGGCTTGTCTAGAAGTTAAAATTAAAACGAAACAGTGTGTAGGCGGTACGTGAGAGTTATTAACTTCCCTTAATAATTTATATAGCAATTTCATTGAAATACAAATACAAATTTAAACTACTATTGTAGTGTAAGTACATTGTAATGTGTAATGTGCCGTGCCCGGTGCCTGCGGTTAGATTCCAAAAGGGCCATGAGTTTCGTTGGATAGTGGTTAAATAGTCACCCACCCGACTGCGACTGAACCCGTGAGAAAGACTGTAGGTGAATTGGGTAGTGATTGCTGGGGATGTGCTTGTCATGCCTTGTGACCCATAAGTAGCTACTATAGCTAAGACACGGTCAGTAATTCTACCGTGCTCTTGAACAGATTAAAATTGGATCTACTGTAGTGTAAGTACAAAAATGGTATTAAAATATGGTGTAGGTACCTATTATATAGTTCTATATAATATGTAGTACTAAATAATAATTACTTTTTATTTAATTAAATGTAAAATAAGTATATTGCTTTTTTTTCCATTTGCTTTTTTTCAATTTGTTTTTTTTTCATTTACTCTTTTTTAGTTGCTTTTTTACGTTGCTTTTTTCTCACTTGCTTTTTTCCCTAACACTTATACATTTAAAAATGTTGGTTTCCAAAGCCAATGGTTTTGAAATTTATTTACCTATTCATATTTTTTTAGATTCTGAGCAAAAATAGGTATGTACTTATTTGTTAATGGTTATACTATAGCGTGTGCAATTTTTTTTTCTGTCTGTTACAAATTTTCTACCAGAAATCTTACTCTAACAAAATATTACAGGAAAGCTTTTTGCAGCATTTTAGATTTAGTTCGTGCATTGGGGAGTTATTTTTTTTTTCCAAAAAGTTCAGTTTTTATAATAGAAAAACCAAAAATACAAATTGTTTTTGGTAATCGATGAAAAGAACGTATGGCTCCTTACTTACGTATAACTCCCATACTTTTTGGAGTGTTCTGCCCTTGGAAGTTATATCAATAGGTATTAAAACGTATTTTCATTTATTTTTTATATCGTCTAGCCATGTTTGTCTCGCCAACTTTCTTTTTAAAATTGCTTCCTCAGTTCTTCACATATTGTCTTGAACCACAGTTTGGTAACATTCATTTTATTTCTTGAGTTTGTATTAATAACTTCTTTACAGTTTCTCTTAACTCCTTTTCCTTAACTCCTTTTTAAAAGCCACATTTCATCTGGCTCTCGGTGAACTGTAATTACTTTAAATTTCAAAGTCTGTTCGATCTTATTTTTATATGTCTTGTCCATATTATCATTCTTCAGTTCATCAATATTATACTTTAGTAGCCTATTTACAAGTTTTTATTTATTCATCCTCCTTAACTTCAATTTTATCCATAGGTATAACCATTAATAAATGACCAAAGTTCATATCTGCTCCACGAAGTGGTATTATGTTGGTAATGCAGTTTTTAAATTTATAATTGGTTAACACGTGGTTAATTTGGTTTATATGTTTTCTGTCCAGTGATAGCTATGTGTACTTGTAAATGTCTTAACATAAAAACATAGTGTTTTATTTATACTAAGTCCTTTTCCTATTGCAAAATTTGTTAGTATTTTATCATTATTTTGGTTAGGTTACCTAATCTACCACTACACACATCAGTGGCACATTTTTGAGCATTATCAACTTTTTTTTTGTTACCAATAATTTAACTTATGTTTATATTATAATAATTTGTTGACATAAAATAAAGTAGGAAAACATTTTTTTAGTTTGAAAAATATAAAAAAATACCCCTATTCCTTCATGGTTGTGATAACACTACACATTCATCACTCTCAGAATAATACAGGGATGATATTGCGATCCTTGCTTTGCCATTTTGTGCCACTTTTAGCCTTAATTTAAAATTTAGTCCATTAATTGTTCAGTAGTGGATCCAGGGGTGGGAAAATAATGTCATTTCCTCCCCCAAACATCGTATTATAGTATACTACCTAAATGTATGTAGGTATGCTTTTTTCCCGTATTATATTATGGTAAAATATACATCAATTCACATTGTTGTAAATGATTTTGTACTCCAAAATCAGGGCCCGACAATGTGGGTATTAATGAAGTTGTTAATTTATTTCACTAATTTGTTTTAAATAGGCTAAGTCAGACGAAATATCAGCATTAGAAAGGTTTCGCCAAAAAAGTGAACCTCATTGGATGTTTCTTTTTGTAAGTTATTTTTTATTCACAATAGTATGAAATCGTTGAGGTATTAATTTTTTTTTAATAACGTTAATAATGTTTATTTATTGTTATAAGGATGGGAAATTAGTTAATCTAATTATTGATACCAATGGGCCTAAATTATTAAAAATAATAACAGATGAAGTAGAAAAGTACGAAAAGTTTAAGAGAGGAGAAATCGAAATAACGTTTGTAAGTAATTAGTACCTTTTAGAATTCTGCACGATCCGGTTTTTTAAAGCCCGCATCATACCAGTGAAATCAAACTAAGACTAGGACCGAACCGGACTAATGAAAGTAATCATGGGACTGGACTAGACCGTACTGGACTGGATTGCATCTGACCGGTTAGATTAGGGGCTTTTTTATACATTATTTAATAAAAATGAAAAATATTTAATATTAAATTCATAATTAAAACTAAAATATAATGAAATTTTAGATTCTGAGTGGAGCTTTTTTGATTATAAAAAGCTTATGGTTTTACAAAGATATTTTTTTTTTATCTGTATAATTTTTCTACCAGAAGACTTGTTAAGATTTCTAAGTATAGCAATTTTTCTGAAAGGTAATTTTTCGATTTTTCAGAAGTTTTCTCATCAAATTTGTAAAACCAAAAAAGAAATGGGAAAATATAAGAAATGTAGATATTATTTAAAATATATTACGGTCTTCTTTTTTTCTGTGCATAACTTCTCTACTAGCAATTTTGCTCCAACTAATGATAGCAATACTTTTAAAAGTAAATTTCACTAGGAAGGTATTTTAAAGAGGTCATGTTTTAGTTTTCCCAAGAGTGAAAAACCCGGATAAAACATAGGAAAACCGGGAAAAACGTAAGAAAATTGGTACATTATTAACAAATATTAAAGAAATTACATAAAGACTATTTAATTATTTCACTATATAATGACATATATTGTTGGCAAAGCATCACTATCAACTGAACTCTGCTAAGAATTATTTTTTCGTAAGCAATGGTTTATCGTTGTTTACAGATATACATTAAATTACCTATAACAGTGGCTGCACCCGTTTTTATTATCCTAGGACGCTTCTTTTGTTAAATTTAAAATAGACGATAACAAACCAGCAAATCGCATATTTTGAATCACGTGATGGTTGTTCAGTTAGTTTATAAATAATATGGAAAACACAAAATTATATTTTATTGATGTGTCCGCCTGTATTTAAAATTATTTCACCGGAAATCATTTCCCCAGGGCTCAAATAATATTTTATTTTTCAAAGTATTATGTAACATAATTATTTTACTATATAGAGTGATTTTTTTATCATGAATCAGCGATTATCTACAAGGATTTTAAGTGAATTTGATTTATGTTTTTTTTTAATCATCATGGAATGGCTTAATCTTTATTTTAAAACCATTTTTAATTTGTATCCTTATTCTATAAATACATATTTACCTTAAATAAGTACATATATTTGATTTTTAAGTAGGACACCCTTTTTTAAACACAGATTTAAATGAAAAGTAATTTGCTAGAAATTTTGATATGTATAACCACTAATAACAGATTTATCGTTTATTAGTTATAACAGTTTAAAGTTTAGACCAGAAGAGTAGGGAAGGTTTCACTTAAAAAACTTCGAGATAATTGCTGGTTCATGATAAAAATATCACCCTGTACTCTATCGACATTTAAACCGGACCGGGGTTTAATATTGTGGAAAGACTGAACCTTGCATAAAGAAGACTCGGACCATCCTGATCGGATCGTAATGAATTTCAAAATAATCAAAACTGAAAATATTATACCACAGTCTGGTCTAGTCCTGTCCGGACTGGACTGTGCAGAATTCTAATACCATCATTAAATATTTATAGTTAAAATGTTTGCATGCATAAGTGCTATTTGGCATTGTTATACATTTTTCAATGTTCAAATAATTTATAATTTGTACAAAATATAAATACAAAAATTGCATAGATGCCTACAAATAGAGTGACCAACGAAGAACAAAGGAAATTAATAGAAAGAGATGAGTATGAATTACAAAAATTTAAAGAATCTAACAAAATTAAAAGTGAATAATTCTATGCAATTCATATATTTACATGCATATAATATAGAGATATTTTTCAGATGAAAGAATGATGAAAGTGAAAGAATACCATCTGAAAAAGTTTTCTCTTAATGTTCAAATGCATACATGTGTTATGTTTTTTCCTCACACTGTATCTTACATTATGGTAGAAAAAGTACCAGAAGAGGGTGCCGAAGATTTTGACGAATCGGCCGAACCAGTAATGGTAGAAAAAAGGATTTGTGAGGTGGCAAATACGTGTGCTCTTAAATACGAAGAGTTTATGGTTGTCGAAGCTAAGGAAATACAATTGACATCAGAGACTTTGGAAGAGGTATACATTTAAATATATAATATATTTTAACAATTAGAAATATAATGATTACTTACCTATAGTGTCTCAGTTATAACAAAACTCGATTACTGGAATAAATATAAAGTTAAATTTTAACTTAAATATTATAATTAGTTCAATAAGTTTCTCATGGGATAGTTTTACTTTTGCAACATAATTTAAAGTTTTTTTCTCTTTTTTAAAAAAATTGTTGATATTTAGGTAGTTATATATATAAAATATGTGATTATATGAACCGTTAACTGCAGAATTCCTAAATATTCAAATTTTAAAATTGTTCAAGAAAGACAAAAATTTTCTTACCAAGTTCACTGCCATGTACTTTTACTATGCATTGCCTAGGAAGCCATGTCTAAATTTTCGTATAAACGCCATTAATTACCATACTTGCTTTCGGGGTATAATAGGACACAGGTACAGCGTACATACTGTATAGGGATCGAATTTCTTGGATCCAATAACTTTATGTTCGAAAATCTTACACGGAAGTGTTGTGTAAAGAATAATGCTAAAAAATAATTTTAATTGTTGAATATTTTTTTCTTTTTAAAATTGACAAACATAAATACAAACCTTTACGCGTGAAAGGCAAGTTTGCAGTGTACAAAAGAGTTTTTTAAATATTACATAAAATGATTACAGAAATGAATGGATGTACGTAATTTCACCAGCACCTCAAATATTGGCCTTTTTTGTGCCAATATTTAGCATGTAATTAGCATGAATTTGCATGCCTATTACCAGAATTTGCATTCTTTTTTTAGGCGTTAAATCAAAAAACCTACGTGGGGGCTATGAAAACGTTTCTATAGCCCTCCGGATTTTAAATTCAGCGTTTCGCATATTAAGCATGCAATTAGCATGAATTTACATGACTGATCCCAACATTTGCACTACACTTCCCCGCTAGTAATAAGTATTTTTTCGGATTTGCGTATTTCATCAGCCCCTCTCCCCATTTAATAATTTCAAATTTTTTTTTGCGCCAATTTTTAGCATGAAATTAGCATGAATAAAAATTGGTTTTTTTTTTGAGGTTTTCTTAAGGGAGGAGGGGGCTGGAGGAACATGTCTACAACCTACGGTACGGCACTCGTCGTGTTAATAATTAGAGTAATTTGAAATTTTAGATTAAAATTTTGTATAACATTTTTTTTTAATTAAATTTTACGAATATTTAGATTTTAGAATAAACTTTCATTACAAATTCTTATTTTCTTTAGTGATATTTGCTTGTTCCTTTCATTTTAATTTTCCTTAACTCTCGGTGAGAAACCTTCTTTTATGTCACTAATCAACATTTTTTTACTATATAAACAGTGACGTGTCACTTATATCCAGTAGGTAGCCTTAGTAAGTTAGGTACCCTGGTTTTTTTCAATCCTAGAAAAGTAATATTTAACAAGATAACTTTTATTCCTTCCGTGAAATACGGTGGTTTTCATGATGATGTAAACTATAGGTTTAAATATGGTTAGATAAGTTGTAGAGAAAAGCATCAAGTGTTTTATGTAACAAGATAATATTCCAATGAAACCTGAAATTAAGTTTTACAAAAGTATGGTGAGACTATGTTGTATGATTTAGAGTGTTTGACGGTTGACAAAAAAAATAAAATAGAAAATGAGTTTAGCAGAGATGAGAATGAGCGGAGTTACAAGAGAAGATAGGATATGGGATGACTGCATAAGAGATAGCTTGAACATGACTTCGATACAAGACAAAATGAGAGGAAATAGAATGAGATGATTTGAGTATATCATGGGATGGGAGGAATTTAAAGCAGTTATAATCGTCATGAAAATAATCATCGGAGGAAAGAGAAAGAGAAGAAGACCAAATATATAGTGGTTGGATATGAATATATGATATAAGAACAGCCGGTGTATACAAGGTGAGAGATCGGGTCAAGTTTAGGTCGAGGGGGACCAATTCCAAATAGTTGGGTTAAAGGCGAAGGAGAAAAAGAAGATAGTTGGCTGTGGGCCGCAGCTTAGGTTTAGTATATAAATAATTAATAACGTCGTCCACCTATATTCGTAATTACGTGTGATTCCGATTGCGTTGTAGTGCCTTCACTAAAACCGTCAACAAAAGTAACGGTATCACTTGAAGCAGCATATAGTGAAACAAAATTTATATTTTACGGCATCAAAATATGCTTAGTGCTTACGTATATACAGAACTTACTTAGATTTTGTTTTAAAATAAATGCTCCCTTTACAAAATTAAAAAAGGACAATATTCTGAAACTGTGTTTTTCCATTATTTCGAATATAATACTCAATTTATCGTCTAGAAATAATGAGTAATGACTTCATTATTATCAAATTACTACAAATTTACAAAAAAAGGAATTATTTAAGAAAAACACATTGTCTTGTCCTTCAGAACATTGTGCTATTTTAATTTGTCTGATAGGTGCTTTTACTCTACATCAAAATTAAGCGAATACTGTATTTCTATGTCTGCGTCGACATGTTTTTATTACCAAAAATAAATACACACACTTCTTATGATGGGGTAAGCCAATGTTGTAGGTGAGAAGTTGGGAAGGTAAAGGGACAATTTAATATGTGTCTGTACGCAACGATATATCATTTCTAACGAAAAAATATTCTAAGTGGAGTTCGATTATATATGTTCTGAAGGACTGTAATATTTACGGTTTAAAAATAATATACATGTATATAATGTATTTCTTAAATTTTCCTGTTTTTCCTACGTTTTTTCCATATATTTTGAAAACTAGAAAATGACATTCTCATTGTACCAATCCAGGCAAATTTCTTTTCAAGAAAGGTGCTATACTTGAAAATCAGAGCAAAATTTCTAGTGAAAAAGTTATTCACAAAAAAAAAATTATAATAATAATAATAAATAAACATCAATGTAAAATCATTAGGTATAGTCCTGATGAGTGAGGCTCCATTCAGAATCTAAAATCGCCAATTTAGTTTATTTTTAAGACTATATACCTACACAGTGTATTATGTATTTTACGGTTAATGTTGTACAATTGATTAATCGGTATTACCGTATCAATAGTTTTTGTGTATAAAAACCGATTTTATGTTGCTAATTTTATTATTAGATTGTATTAGCCTTGTATCAAATATTAAGGTGATAACATTATCTAATAATATACGTAGACTTGTTTTCAATATTATAATTGTCAAGCAAGATATAAATACGTGAAATATTTAAATTAAAAAAATCATCAAATTTGGCTAAAATAATAAAATAATGAAAAATCGAAGGCGCATTTCCCTGACATTTCGAATTTGTGAACCAAACGGGGGCTATCGATTGTTCTTTATTTGTTCTTGTTTATTCAACAAGTTCCTAAAATGTCCTACTTCAACAAATTGTATACATTTATATATGATATTTAAAATTTAATAATTTTCCTTAATTTTCCTTGAGGTAACTACCTCAAAAAATGACTGCCACGCCACTGAAAATCACAAAAATATTTAGATTTTCACGTTTTCTTAATTCTGGACATATTTTTTATGGAAACCTATATAGACAAATACCAAAACGATATTGGATTTATATCAGTTTTAAAGTATAGAATTCATTGAATGTTGAGTCCATCTCCAGTATTTTGTGTTTCATCAAAAATACATTCAGAACCAGGTACCAGAAATGAAAAAGTTTTGGAGAACAAACGAAGAACAATCAAAAGCATCTGGTCCGGATCTGAAATTTGAAAGTGAGGGTGCTGGGTTTTTCTCGACATCCTTACCGTAAATCGGTTATAAGTCAGGAACAGGGATGGAATTTACTAGAACAAACGAGGCATAATAGAAAGTCCTTGATTTGGTTCCAAAATTCAGTGTGGGTGCTGGGATTTCCTCTGCCCCCCCCCCCCGAAAATCGAATATGAGTCGTGAACGGGAATAGAACAAACAAAGAGATTTTCGGAACAAACAAGAACAAACGAAAAACAATCGAAAGCCTCTAGTTTGCTTTAAAAAATTCGAAAATGGGGGTGCCAGGGAAACGTACCTTTTTTCCTTTTAAAGTTTTTAATATAAAAGAATAAACTAATACTTAACACAAAATTAGCTGCTCAAAATCGGTTAAAGTAAAAATACAATGGTTTTAAAACATCAACCGTAATATATATAGGATGATTCACTAAGTGTACTCACTCCATTTTTTTGATTACTGCTCTCTTCCTACCTAAACGTAAAAGTGGAATATCTCGTTAATGGAAATCAAAAATTGTAACTCCAACATTTATTTGAAGTAACACTCCCTTTATTTATGAAATTTTAGTATTTCAGTGGTTATATTACAAACGATACCTAATTGCTCATAGGTACTTATATGTAATCTGTTATAGATGTTTTTGATGGAAAGAAATGTTCTGGAAAGTTTCTCGCCAAGATTAGTTGATGAATTGCTGAGTAAAAAAGTATTTTCAGTATTGTTGTCACTGCCTGTAATAAAAAATGAAGGACATAACGCCATAGAAGACGAAGACTTCACCAAGTACTGGGGAGTGCCTGAAGAGAAGATGAGCACGATAATTTATGGCAACCAGAATCCGGTGAATCCCAGTCCAAAATCGTAAGTATGTAGATACCTATTATAGAAAGTCCAAGAAAGAATGAGAGAACGATACATAATTTTCAAGACCTTTAAGAAAAGCATTGTGTACTATATGGTTATTACATGAAATAATATCATTAATTAGTCTATAACTACGAGTGGATTTTATTTCTTAATTTGAAAGTCTAAACACTTTTATTAACGTTTGGTCCATCTGAGCCTACCATTAATAGTTTTTCTTTGGGAAATTCAGCGCTGTTTAATGCTAACATTAAACATTCATCAATTTTAATTGTAGTAGATGCAATAAAAAATTTTTCTAATTGGCTTACAATAATCTCCTTATTTGTATTACACCCGCAATAAAGCACGGCTACTTGTAACTCTTTTTCCCGAATTGGTAGTTTCAACATACATAAGCGTATAGTATTTTGAATAGTTTTGAATTTTGCCTAATAATCTATCTAAAATGAAGACCTAAAGCATCAGTAATTAAATAAGACATTTTGGGCTTATACTAAGTACATTAGATATTGCTTTTAGAAACATAGTTTTATATAATTCAGCTAGTATAATGTCTGAACTGCCCGACATGTTGCATAACACACTCTTCATTGTCCAAAAAAGATCAGCTTTAGATTAGCTTCGTTTGTAATATACTTCAAGATTTCCAATGTACTCCAAGTTGTGTAACCAAGACTATTAATCTTCTCCAACCGTACTTTATTAACGGTACACTTTCCCATTTTTTTGGAGGTTCTAATAATCTATAGTTTAATGAGTGATTAGGTACCTAATTATATTTTTGAGTTTCAAAAGTAGAAAATAATTATTAGTTTTAGATTTTAAAAAATTATTTAATTTGATTTTATAATTTGTTTTGACTCGGCTAGTCACAATCAATTCAATTTTCTATTAAATTGTAATATAGTCTTGCAGCTGACAATATAGTAGTGAACAATTTCGGGGAAAAAGTCCCTTCGATGTATACGCCTACTAATCCACTAAGTAAAGCTTCGGCTCTTACAGTTTTGTTCAACAAGTTTTCCATAACCAATCAATACGTCGCACCTCAGCCTCCTGTACCGCAGGTTAGTATATTTCAGTATATTCTAAAAACGATTTTCAATCATCTGTAAATAATATAGTCGTTGTTAACTGTATTTTTACAGTATCTCATGATATTTGAAATCAACAAGTCCGACATTGTATTACCAATCATCGAGGATATCGAAGACAATATCATCAATTACGGGTTTTTTCGTAGCGCCGATCCTGAAAACCCAAGACTATTGTGCAAAAATCACGAGTTGTTAGTTACTTATGGCATGGAAAAAATCGGGTACCTGTCTATATAAATTTAGTATAGAGTATAGGTTAACAATAAAAATATCATATTTTCAGACACCTGTTTGTGATCTGTTAAAATATTCGGAAAAATTATTGCATTAACATTATGTTTATTTTGTGTGTATAGCAAAGATGCAAAACTAGTGTTATCTGTAATTAAAGACTACAAAGACAAAAGCATGTTGCGATTCATAGACGCTGGGCCCATTTACGTAAGTACGGACAGTGAGTTAGGCATCGATGATGCTGCTCAATTTTTCCCGTACAACTTTGAAGAGATAGAAGGTGAGATAAAGATGTTGGTTGACCGTTTCTTTCATAACGACGAAGCTACAGATGGAGAATACGAACTGGATGAAGGTAACGATGAATTCTTGGGCGAAGACGATATAGATCTACATACGTCAGACATCACTGTGCGTTAGCTACTTTGCTATAAGTCCACGGACAAAATTTTGTATTTTCCAATTATTAACATAATATTTCAGATTATAACTTTAAAGAAATATTGTACAAATAATAAACGTATAAAAAAAAATAATACAAATTGTCAATAAATAAGTATATAAGTATACATATTTATACAAATACGAGTACTGCCTTAGTTCACTAATGAAAAAAAAGGGGTTCCCCTCTCTAGAAAAATTGTCTGGATTCAACACTGCAAGCTGCATAAATTAAATTTAAATATTTATGTATTTATTTTTCTCGTTAACTATCAGTTTGATTATAATAAACGAAGTAGATTGATCAAAATAAAACCAATACAGATCTAAACAATTTTATGTTACAGCAATTTTCTTCTATAAATACACAAAATAGAGAAATATGTATAATAACAAGTTTCTCGATTTATAAACATCTAAAATAATTTGTATATATTTTTTTTTATTGTCTTTTTTTGGGGCAAACTTTTGAAGTTTTAATAGGAATCTTTATTCGAAATTTGATAAATAAATAATAGATAATATAAACAATTTTTTTTTCGTCAACATAATAACGAGGTATTCCACTTTTTAGTTTAAGTAGTGGTAGTTATTTGTAATAGAACTCGGAAAACAATAAGCTGACATTAAGTGCAACTTACGACTATTGAATCTGAGACAAAAAATAAAAAAATGTTATAATACCATACAACAGAAATTAGAAGAAAGAATATTAAATATGGCGAATTTTTTAATATTGATTTAATTGAATACCTTACGGCCATTGACCATTATTTTAAATTTTAATCCACGTATAATTATTTTATCTACTTAATTTATTAATACAATAATATTTTAAGTTTTAATTGAGAAGAATTATAAAATATTAAAAAAAATAAATATTAAATATTAAAATTATAAAATATTAAAATATTAAATATTATAAAATATTATAAAACATTTATAAAATATTTTTGAACTGTAAGCATTTTTCGAATATTTTCCAGAAATTTTTTAAAAATGTCCTTTATGAAGAAAGGTATAAAAAAAAAAGAATCTCTTAGAAAAAAGAATTAGAGCAAAAAACTTTTTGGGATTGCAGGCATATGGGAAAAGAATTTTTAGGAAAAAGAAATTCGGTAAAAACTCATTAGAAAAAGTACTTATTTCTCTACCATAAATCATTCATATTATGAAAACAGAAACCAAAAAATTGACTGGATCTTCATTCGTGGTCGTAACTAAGGACATGGCATATATGAAGGACACAGGAAAAAACCAGAAAAGTCATTTTTTTTCCCAAAATGGCGTTATCAGTATCAAATAATTTGTATTGGCGTGCTGTATTTTTTATGTGATCGAAACAGCGAAAAAACTAGATTAGCCGAAAGTAATGAATGTCAGAAGTTCAAGCCTACAGAAAAAAAAACAGTTAATCAATTTATAACCAAGTAAATGTTGGGTTAATATATTGCTATAGCCTTGGTTAATAATATAATATGAGTATATGACATTATTATGTTGTGGTTAAAACATATAAAACATTAAACTTAATCCGAAACTTTTACTTCGTGAAAAAAAAGTTGTTACATTTTTAAATTAAAAACACGTTTCTCAGTTTGAAAAAAAAGTGACTTATCTGGTTTTTGCCCTGTAACCTTCATGTATATTGTATGTGCATAAGATACGGCATAAATATGGCATATTAAACGCGTGATGGTCACGTCCAAACAAAGGCGTAGCCGCGCAGGTATATATCATTAGAGATTCTACTTCTACTCGTATATATTATTTATAATAGGAGTGAATTGGGAATTGACAAGAAAATTAAACCTCCGTATTAATTTTGAAATTAATTTGTTTAAATTACCTAACTTCTCCCCTTACTTACATTTCCATGTCTACGGATCTGTGCAACTCCTATGCATTTAAAATCTATGTCATTTATGTCTTAACTTCAGAATAGGTTCCTTTTTAGTCTTTACATCGTCCACATATTCCCGTCTACACTTTTATTATAAAGATTTATTTAAGTATTTTTCTTATTTATTGATTTTAGGTGTACGTGTTTGGAACTAGTTTTAGATTTATCTTTTACAATTGTTTTAGATTCTTAGTGTAACGAAAAATGTATTGATTTTACAAAGATGTTTATTTTTTTTTATATACTGTATACAAAAATTCTATTAAAAATCTTGCTCCAATTTATACGATACAGAATCTTTTCTAAAAGTAAATCTGACTTAAGAGGTACTTTAAGGAATTAACTTTCCTAAATTAGTGCTCAACTACTCTCCCTCTACCTTAAAACCCTCTAAACTTAAAAGTGAAATATCTCGTAAACAAATTGACGGAATCAAAAATTTTGACACCAAAATTTATTTGAAGTATTACTTAATGAAATTTTTAATACAGGTTCTCATTTGAAAAACCAAAGTTGGTATTGCCACAGGATACTCCTTAAATGCTATGAAAAATCTAAATATTCGAAAATATCAGCTTTAACTTAAATATTTCAAAATCCAGAATTTGAATATATGCAAAATTCAACCAAAAAATGGGTTGAGCATGCTTAGTGAATCACTCTGTATATGGGAGTCGTGGGTGGACGTTGAAAGAGACCACGGCAGCATGGCCCCTATGACACGATTCGAAATCGATTGAGCTACTGCTAGTAGGTCGTCGCGGGGGTATTTCTGCGCAATACCGCCTGATTTGTATTATCTTCTACGCATGCTCTATAAAGGTATAAGAGTTATTGTCTCAGCTGGGCCCGGAACCACAGCATTCGATGTTCGTCATTAGTGTTGTTACAGGCGTTACGCTAATATAAGGTTCGTCGTCAACGTTTTTTTTTTTATCGAAATGCGCCTGCGCTACCGTCATTCGTCAGCATGACAATATATTTTTTATCACATAATATACTTATTCACAAGCTACCGATCACGGCCCTCATTTATTAGAGAAAACACCTCTTGCGACGAGTTTTATCGGAAAATACAATAATGGAACAGCAAGAACAAGGTACTCCAGGCGATCGAGATGAGAATAAGGAAAAACCCGTTCCGGTGCCACTTACATTGGAAAATTTACAATATTTTGACTTAAGAGAATATGCAATCAAAGTGATTCAAATAGCGTACATTCAACTGAAATGTTTGAGAAAAATGGCGATGGTGCGGGCACGCCAACTCAGAAACATACGCCAAAGACCATCGTACAGTGCTTACATGGACCATCGTGCCAAAGACGAACGTTGGATCGATGAGCTAGTACACGAAATAAACATGCTTGAAAAAGAACAGTCGGATCCGGAACACTGCGCAGAATTATGGCACCCACGACTGCACAGCTCTGAGTGGATCAAAGACCATAACGAAACGACTGCCAAACCACGGCAGGTGGTAAAATCAAAATCGCGAAATGATAAGAAGCGCGTGTTATGATTGTCTCAATTTCAATATTTCGCATCATTGACATAGAATATATCTACTTGGGTAATAGATTCTATTTCTATGATATGTAATTATTGTACTTGCCAACTATCTCATAACCATACCTATCTCTGTTTTCTTTTGAATTTCGCACAACATCCTTATTAATTTTGTCCCATATTATATTTTAAATATCAATTATCTAAAATTATTTAATACATTTTTTTGTTATAGGTACTTCTATCACAATCTTAATTCTTGACTACAATAACGTAAATAATGAATAGCTACTTATATAAATAAGTACATATCTATTAAAGTTTTATAAAATATTTGAATAATGATAGCTATTCTATCAATTGTTAATTTAATATATTCGTATACAAGATATACCTATTTATATATATATTCTGTAGGTAGGTATCTACTTTAAATTTATATAAAAATTAAAAACTAGTTATTATGCTTAATTCTTTATTAAGGTCCTATTGACCAAAATATAATACCAATTCATTTTTTTGTAAATAAATAGCACCTATTATGTAATATTGTTTGATACCTGTTGCTTTTAACTATATTAATACTAAAAAAAAAAAACCTATTTAAATTATATTTGTCAATTCATTTATATTAGTTGCATATTTAAATATTATGTTAGTTATACCAAAAATATATATTTTAATTAATTAATCATCAAATGTATGTATATGAGTTGATACAATAGCCTTTCTCTTAGATTATGTTTTGACATTATTAACATATATATATATAAATAAACATAAACAAATACCAATGGTTATTTCATTATTTATTATTGTATGATGTATTAAACAAATAAATTATCTACTTAATACTATTTCAAAATAATTTGATAATTTATTTTATACCTATTGATTCATACTATGAATAATATACTTCATACTAAATGTTGTGCATACACACACACATACATAATATATAGTAAAAAAAATAGCAGAATATCAGACTTGATCATAATGGGAAAGTTACATTGTATTATTTTTTATTTGTAGTATTATAACAATCTTAAAACACCAAAAAAAAAAGGATAATAATAATCATTGGTTTGATGATTAAAACATAAAACAAATATAAATATAGGTAACCATACCTTTATAAAATAAATAATAAAAAAAGGACATACTTCACTCATGTGTGCAGCCACTGTTGTAGGATGAAAGTTGGGAAGGTAGAATACAGATAGGAGTTTAATGTATATCTGTAAGCAAAGATAAACCATTGCTAAATAAAAAACGATTTTGAGCTGAGTTCAGTTGATAGTGTTGTTTTGTCAACAATATATGGTTTAATATTTCATATTATACTAAAATAATTACAATGTGCAGTTCCATGACAACAATGATTGCTTAAAAAATATTAGAATAATAATAATTTAATAATAACAAAAAATAAATAAAAATGGTTGCCAATGATAACTTTATTTTTAATCTTTCAATCTTTTTTAACCTTAAGACTGAAGTTTTCCTCATTATCTCGAATATTTATAAGAATTCCAAAAAATTACCTTTTTACTTAATAATTGGAGTATGGAGTTTGGAGTATTGGAGTTTTCTGGTAGAAAAAGTGTTCACATAAAAAATGAATTGTAAAACACCATTGTAACATTGTAACGCCATTGTAACACCATTTTAAAATCAATACATTCCTCATTCCACTCAAAATACAGCCTGGAGTATTATTAGCTTAATTAAATTAGCTTAGTAAATTTAGTTTTACTGCCTGTTTAAATTTTAAACCATTGTCTTCAGAATAAGTTGACATTGACATTAATTTAAAAGTAGTCTACCTACTGATTTTTAATTGAGCCATTAATATAAAATACAGCAGTGGTAGGCAAGGCATTTTTATTGAAGTCTAAAATAATAAAATAGTAAAATATGTAGCACAGAGAAATATAAATTGTCATCATCACAGCAATGATTGTCTGAAACTTAATGTATAAACTAATTTAAAAATCTAAAACGGGAAAATATTAACCATGGATATTTTTGGGGATTGATAATTGCATAGAATAAGAATTTCATAGAACAATATCTTTAAGGAATAATATTTTATAAAGATATTTCTGAGCATTCATAAAAATAAACTATTGACAATATAAATCAATAAAATAAATATTGGAAACCGTATAAGTCAGGATCAATATTTCGCTAAAAAATATATAAATGAAAAAATATAAGAACAAATAATCAAATAACTGATGATGATGCTAACAATATGGTTAGTTTATTAAAAGTCAATGCCTAAATGATGTATACAAAATGGTAGGGGATAGTTTTAGTACAGTTCAAAATTGGTTAGATAAAAATTAATTTTCATTAATAATAAACATGGGTAAAACATAATATATTTTGAATATACATCAATATTTTAAAACCATAAAATAACAGTTCGTTAATATAGCTGTTTTACAAATATCTAACAACTCAAGTATTATATGAAACTGTAAAATATTAAATTGAGTTACTTCCTTAAAATATCTAGATACAAAAATATAAAATCATGAAATCTCCACGCCGTTAATATTTGTCTGTTTACTCCTACGGTTTTCCTACGATTTTCCTGGTTTTTCTCAATTATGTATTATGAAAACCACTTGGAAAATCATAAAATTATGTTTCTGAAAGATTGCTGGTAAAAAAAATTGTATAAAATATAATAAATAAAAAATAAACATCATTGTAAAACTGACACATTCCTCGCTAAAACAAGTATTAGATATATTATAAACTTATCAATAATATTAGTTTTAAATATAAACAATATACTTTCATAACAAATATCAATATTGATTATTGATAAAATAATTTAATATGATAAAATATTCAGTACAACCAACATGAGCAGTTTCACTATAAAAACCTGGTATATGGTCTTAGAATTTAAGGTCGGAAAACCCTACCTTATCAGTGTTCCGCCAAATTATGCAAGTTAGTACCCTATAAATTATAAATTGTGCAATGCAATTTTTAATAGAAAAAATACATTACCATTATATGACATAAATATTGTGGACAAAACATCATTATCAACTGAACTGCGCTCAGAACTATTTTTTTCGTTAGCAATGGTTTATCGTTGCTTACAGATACAAATTAATTTTCCCCTCTATATCCCACATTTCCAACTTATTACCACTAATAGTAACTGCACTGTTCGAAGATTTATTTTTATTTTTATTTCTTTTCTTTTCTGTTTTATTGGAAGAGAAATTGTGTCATGGGCACTCTAACATAATACATAATAATATACGCTATTATCTCTTCAGCATGTATTGCGCATAAAAAATTGAATTGCGTGACTTTCATCATATTATCTATTATTTGGTTCAAAAGATTTGCTGATAAACAGTTTTTAGCAAAACTTTCTTAGATTTTTTTTTTTATAAAATTAAAGAAACATTTGCTATATTAATCTATCTCTTTTTTTTCATATTCACCAAAGTAGCAGGCAACTGTTGAGAATATTCTGGTGATATTACAAAATACATCACAATCTTCGGTATTTTTCAACAACTGCTTTGATAAATATCCAATATAATGAAAAATATCCAAACTTATATTGGACTTTTATAGGAGTTAATTTATATCCACATGTACCCATATGAATTAAAAATTGTACCAATAATCACATACCAGATAAATAGTAAACAGTTAAACAGTCTACAACCTCAGCCTTTACATAATTGTGTTTGACTTTATCAATGAACTCCCTTTATTTTTGTTTTATTATTATATTTAATTTATTTTTTAATATTTTTAATTTTTTAATAAATTAGAGTTTTATGGAAGATAAATATTCTTTAAATTAGATATGAAAATGCAATTTCAACTTTTGGGTGGTTTCAGTATACTGTAAGTTGATAATAAATTGATAAATTAATAAATTGATTAATACAGTAAAACTTATCTCGAATTTCTTTAATTTAAAATCGTCGATACCTCGAACTTTTTCTCTGGTTCCTAGAATTTCCTATTTAAACAATGTGAAAAAATCTTGTTTAACTCGAATATTTTCGTATATAACTCGAAGTTTTGAGTTTTATTTATATTATAAAATTGTGATATTTCCTTCATGTATCTATGTATATATTTTAATATCGAAAATAAATTTATTACTCTTTATTAATTAGTGTTATCGTTACCAATAAGTGGTTTGTCTAACTGGTTGACTACATGACAATGCATGACTTCAGTGTTCAGTGCTCTGTGTTCGTACATAATTTTTCGATCGTAATGTCGTTAGCAAAACGCGTGCTAAAAATGCTAACGTACAAGGAAAAAACGGCAGCGATACGGGAAGTTGAAAATAGATTGAAAACAAAATCTTTGATAGCTAAAGAATTTGGTATTCCACTTAACACTTTGTCAACTTGTCTTAAAAATAAAGAAACAATTTTAAAAAGGTCTAGAGAACCGGAAAATCCTGAAGTTGATGAATGCATTTACAAATGGTTTTAACAGACACAAAAAAATACCCCTGAGTGGGCTGTTGATAAAAGCAAAAGCTGAAGAATTCGCATTCAAATTAGAAAAACATAATGGTTTCAAAGAGAGAAATGGCATTTGTTTTAAAACCGTAAGTGTTGAATGTGGTTATGTAAATGTTTAAGAGGCTGATGATTGGAAAATAAAATCGCAACAAATGATAAAAAGCAAAAACCCAAAAGACATTTTTAATGCAGACGAAACAGGTTTATTTTACAGGTGTACCCCAGACAAAATACTAGCTTTTAAAGGTGAACGGTTTAATGGTGGTACACAAAGTAAAGAACGTATAACGCCTTTATTAGGAGCTAACATGGACGGATCAAAAAAATTGCCATTGTTGATAATAGGAAAATCATCAAATCCTAGGTACTTTAAAAATGTAAAATAGAAACCAGTTGAATATCAAGCGATTAAAAAAGCTTGAATGACAGGCGAAATTTTAAAAAATAGGCTACTGAAAATTGATAAAATATTTTGTAAACAAAACAATGGTGTTTTTATTGACAATTGTACTGCCCATAACTATATTCCTACAATGGAAAATCTCGAAATTTTGTTTTTTCCGCCCAATATGATATCTGTGGATCAGCCAATGAAACCAGGGAATTATTAAAAATTTCAAGCACCACAACCGTAGTCTTTTAATACAGTACCTGCTACAGAATGGGGATCAAGTTGATATTTTACAAGCAAATCGAATGTCCAAAAATGCCTGGGAATAAGTAACACCACAAACCATTGCAAATTGTTTCCGTAAAGCTGGTTTTTTAAGCATCAACATGGATAACGACTTGGAAGTGTGCGAACATTTATCAGATTCAGACATTATATTAACTGTAAGATGTACTCAATCATCGGATGACTAATAGGAGCAAGAATGTATCGAACCTCCCATTCCCAAGATTATACAATCACAGATGCATTATAATGAATCGAGGCTATTTTTTATTACATTACTTTATTTATAATAAATACATAGGAATCAATATATTTTATACTGTTTAAAAAAGTTTTAATTTAGATAACTCGAACTTTTTTTCCGGTCCCTTCAACTTTGAGTTAACCAAGTTCAACTGTAACTTGTACAGTTGGAAAAATGTTGGCGCTGATGGGTGATCCAACGATCCTGCAGCCTACCAAATTATTCCAAAAAAACTTCTAAGTAAAATTAATAATTTGATTGCTTGTGATTTTCATATAATTTATTTTTGTGTACTTACTTCTAGTTTATCCTGAGTTATCTTTCCAGTTAGTAAATATTTTAAATTCTAAGAAGAATTCAAGTATTTGGATAGATCAAGTGTAGACTATATTGTCACTCTTAAATCATAATCAGTATATTCTGTTAGGAATATTACCAATGTTACCAATTTGAATCAAAACCACTAGTCATATTTATTGATCCCAGATATCGCCTTATAGAGTTAATACTTGTTAATGGCCATATATTATTTTTATTTAAAAAATTATAGCCACTTGGTAATTTTATGTGCAGTAACATGCACTGTATATTCCATTAATCTGAAAACCTTTTGCTTTTTAAATTGCTAATTTAATTTAAATTAAATTGACATTTAATTTATTATTATATGTACTTAATATAATTGAAATTATTACTGCTCTAAGTATATCTTATATAATTTTTTTTTGATATCCAGGGCATTTAATATCATTCATTTTTTGCTCAATACTATAATGAGTTGAACTTTTTAATTTTGCTTATAATTCATTAATATTCATTCTCATTAGGTAGATTTTATTCTTAAAACAATTTTTTTATTTCCTTTGAATTCACTTTTCTTACACAAATTTTCAAGTCTTTTTAGATTCTGAGTGGAACGAGGAATGAATTGGTTTTACAATGATATTTATTTATTTATTTTATTTTTTTTTTTTTATGTGAACACTTTTTCTACCATAAAGCTTACTCCGATAATATTAATTCTAACTTTGACCCAGAAACAGTGGATTCAAATGCTCCTAGGATTTTAAGGTATTGATACAGAAATCAATCTTTATCGGACAGCCACAGATCATCTATTGTGAATATTGTGAATGATGTTTATATGTACATGAATAACAAAGAATTGGAACTCAAACTCAAAGTAATAATTAATCAAATGTTGACTGAACTTAAACTGAGCCAAAGGAATTTCTTGGTGTTTCAAGTATAAAGTGCTTACTGTTTATAATTTGTTTAAGCTACATAAATAAATATTATCTAATGTTTTTTAACTTTACATTTTAGTTGAAAAAAAACATGAAAAACACAGAGAAAGATATTCACCAGAAATGATAACAAAACATGTTAAGTCTCATAGACCCAAACATAAGCATCATAGGGATAGTAACACTTTATCAACAGAACCATCTAGTGATTTATTAATTATTTAATTTAATTATTTGTAAGTTATTTTAACTATAAATATATAATTTTTCAGTTTATGAGGTTCTATAACAAGGTTATAACCTATATGAGGTGTTATAACAACATCTTCACAATTACTTATTGCCTCACCAGTGGAAGAAATCCATCATAAAGCTGTCAAAATTAAACCAGAGAAGAGTGTTGAACCACTTAGAATCACCACAACATTAACAGATATTAAATTGATACCAAAGTGTAATGTTTGTAAAACAACTGAAATTAACACTACGGTTTAATAAGTTTTAATATTATTTATTGTTATTAGTAAATATTTTTCTAAGATATAAGTATTAAATCATTATTATTTTACATTGACATGTTTTTTTTTTTTAGTGTAATGAATGCAGTAAAAGTTTTCATTTATGCCTTGATCCTTCAGTAAAAGAATCTCTAAAAGTATGCCGTTATTCATGGCACTGTACTTAGTATGATTCAATAGTACACCAATTATTATTGTAGGTCTAGTATGTGCATTTTTCCCATCATAGAATTTAAAAGATTCTATAGGTTGCTTTTATACCTATAGTTATCGAATTGAAATTGTGTTACAAAAAGTTTTAATTTATAGTACAATACTTAAGTTTTTAGATTTTGAGCAGAGGAAAGATAAGCTATTTTAATTTACAGTAAGTTGTGTTTTTGTTTCTAGGTAATAAACTTTTTTCCATTTACACTGCTACTTTTATATTATTATTTCTGATAATCTGAAGAAATATTAAAACTCATGCACTTTTATTTCTTAATGAATTAAAAATCATCCCATTTCTGTAACCAATATCTGGACAATCTCGTAGTGACTACTCGTCTCGTACTACCATGGCAGTCTTTCTATTAAAGTTTATCAAGTTTTGCTATGATATACATAGTTATCACGGTTCTGTGGTCTCATTAGAATACAGAATAAGTTAATAACACGGACCACAGTTGCAGAGTACAGACAATAATCGTACAGATAATCACAATATAATTATTATAACCAATAGTAGATGTATATGTTGATAATAGCTACAATATCTCTAATCTCTTATCCATCTCTTAAGGAAGTTTTTGACAACCATTTCCGCGCAAAAAATATATTTTTTTTAAAATTTATAATAATAAAATAAGTATGTACTTATACAAGAAACAAATTCAACAATACCAAGGGTAGATTGCTCCTATCGCTTTCCTTGTACATGCCTCTGCTTTAGGTACTAATTTAATGTACCTCTATCAATACAATCCATTATTATATTACGTATAATATGTGTTTTTTTTATTTATTTTAAACATTTTAATAATACTTCATTGATATTTACATTTTATAATTATTATGTTTAAGAAAAAAAAAATAAATTTTGGGTTAGAAGGCGCTTTGGATAATAAGTATAAAAGTAACATATTAAAGAAAAGTGGCTTTTAAGTACAAATTCTTTAAAAAGTAGCAAACTTATAAATCAATGTTTGACTTGTTTGGATCCAAACAGGATTTAATTAAATATTAATACTATTCCCTTAGTTAATTTGCTATCTCTTTCATTCTAAATCAATGGTCCTGGTTGCCTTTATTTCTCTCTTATTAATAGCTAAATGGTAATCATTAATTACACCATACGTGTATGGAATAAGTTCTATACACGGATTTTTGAAATAAAAAAGTTGTTTATGTAACAAGTTTAGTTCTTTACACTGAATAAAAACTGTTAATTGATTATTAAAATTAACCTGGACAAAGTTTACCAAAAAGTGGTCATGGACTAAAGTTTTGAATATTGTAGATTGGACATAAAATTCCTACAATATATTATGAATACCTACATTATTTGTATGGTTTAAATCAGTTACTAAGACTAAAACAGAAAATAAACCTATACAAATAGTTTTAATAGTATTAATATTTTTTAAAAAATATAACTAGCCCAAAGCTCTTAAAAATGTTGGATTATACATTGTATTATAATTTTGAACACTTATCATACTTTCATCACAAATATAGATAATGCAATTTATCTAAGTCTATAGATAATAGACTATCTAGATCTATATCTGTGATTTACATTTATTTGTATACATGATCAAATTACCTATTAATCAAGTCTTAACAAAATATTTTAGAAAATAATTTAATTTTAAATTTTCAATTGGTACAACAATATTTAGAATATTATTATTAAACAAGATTTCCAATTCTTAAAATCCTTATCGTGTCTTTTCCTGTGGTATGAGTGTAGATTTCTGTTAAATGAGTTAGTTCTAAAATTAATTAATTATATTTAGCAAATAGTTTGAAACATAAATAATCATAATTAATGAATTAATATTATAAGAACACAATTAAAAATTATTTATTTATTATTTTTAATCTGTTTTAAGTGATTCTAGTCTGTTTCGTCCCTGTCAAAAAATTGAGTTTAGGGACGTTTGGTCCCCATATTTTGTTTATAGTATTAAGGAGGGTGTCACGCCATAGACTTATAATATATTTTAAGTCTATAAAGAAAATTTGTTCCAATAATAAATATACCGATAGGTACTGGTACAGTGGTATACTTATGTAATTTCC